TTAGAGTGTAACACATTCTCTTCTAAGAAATGGCCTTGCGTCCTGCTCCCCACCACAATGCACATCAAGCTGTTCTTCCTCCTCTGTCCCCTCCTCCAGGGTGGGTGCTCCCCAACTCATGGACACTAAGGAATCTCTAGTGGACTCTTGAAACGCCTACCTCCTCTGGGGGTGGCTGATTTTTGTTGTAAAGGTGAGAAGTCCCTGGCCCACCCTGGCCCAGCTCCAGTCACTCTGGAGTTTGGGCTTTCCTTCCTGGGAAAGGTGAGGGGCTGGCTCGGAGCTCTGAGGCAACAGGGCTTGAATGTGGTTGAGTGGCTCAGGCCAGGTGCTGACATCTGTCACAGGGCACCTGGACAATTACCAACACCAAGTGAACTACAGAGAAGCGCCCAGTCCCTGGGAAGGGTCCCTGAGAGCCCTGGGGGCCGCCATGTCTCCTGTAGTCTGTGGGCACCGCCTCGTACTCTGGGTGATTAGTGTGACCTCAGTGCCTTGCCTTCCAGGCCTGGCTGGCTCTAGGGTCTGGATTTCCTGGATGTGCCATCCCCCGCAGGGCCCCCTTACCAGCCAGACAACCAGAGAGTAGTGGCCACGGGCAGCCGCAGCATGCAATGGGCCCATGCCGTCCAGGGCGCGCAGGCGCACGTCGGCCCCGCAGTCTTTCACCAGGAACTGTGCCAGATGCAGGTGACCCTCTTGGCAGGCCAGGTAGAGTGCAGAGGCGCCGCTGCGGGTCTGCTGGTTCACGCCACTGTGATGGACAGAGGCTCATGAGGCCTGCACCAGAACTGCCCGAAGGAGGCTGAGCTGGCCAGCATTTGGGGGACTTGGGCCTGGGTGAATCCTTGGTTCCCAGTGACAAGCTGCAGGGAGCACCCGTGTCCTACCCCAAGCTGACATCCTCCTCGGGCGACATAGACTTGTCCTTGATCCCTGACCCCTGACCATGTTGTCTGAGTTTCCCTAATGCCTTCCAGCTTCTGTCTCAATGGGCTCTGTGCCCAGCTCCCGGGGTCCTTTCTTTCCCTCTCTCCTTGCCTGGGTCAAGCTTACTCTTCTCGGTCATTTTAGATGGAGGATGGTCACAGCCTTGGCTGCCTTCTCAGCCATCCCTGTAGAGACACAGAATTGACCCCTATAACTCCCAAGGGCCCCCTCTGCCTCTGTGCCATTGCGGCTACTGTCACGAGCAACCTGCCAGACACAGCTCTGTATCTGCTACTGAGCAGAGCCTTCGCTTTTCCCCAGGGCTGCGCTCACTGCGGCTGGGTAAGGTGGCCTTCCTTAGGAGTCAGGCTTGGCTCTTAACTGCTCTTGGCTTATATCTTCTAAGGCTCTGACTGCGCCTCGGCCTCGCCCCACAGCCTCGCCTCTGGGGCCCACACAGGCAGGGGAGGCAGGGAAGTATGGCATGCTTCCACAGACACCCTGCAACTCACTGAGTGACTCTGGATCCACCCCAGAGGGGCACCTCATAGAGAGGCCGTTACAAACTTCAGCTGGCAGAAGGGGAAACTGAGGCTGAGAGCTGGCTGATTTGCTCAAGGGGCAAGAGTTCGGGTCTCTTTCCTTTCAAAGCCCCTCTGCCTCACTTTGTTCTAGAAAGGTGAGCTTTGTACAGACCGGAACACAGCAAAGGAGGGAAGAGAAATTTGGAAGCTGCTTGCCTCCGTGGGTCTGGCTGTATCTTTCTCCATCCACCAACCCTAGAGGGTGGCACAAGGCCTTGGATTTGATAAAGCTGGTCCGTCTGGTCAAGGCGTTCCCAACGTGGAGGACAACTGAAGGTGGTTGCTTTTCCCATTTGGGTGCAATCCTTGCGCCTCCCCCAAACAGTGCAATGCAGCACCTATGTTTCAAGGCCCTCCCTTTCCCAGGCAGAGCCTGCATCCATGTCTTCTGCCCCTGCTTATCCTCTGGCTCTGGAATCACATGGCCTCTTTTGCCTGTCCTGTGTGGCGCCCTCAGTGGCCAGTCACTACGGGTAAAGTGACGAGGCTCTCACCTGCTGTGGGCAGCTGTCAGGAGCTTCACACAGGTCAGGTCGCCACTGACAGCAGCATGGTGCAGAGGCAAGGCCCCCTCCAGGGTCTCCAGTGCGGCCACATGGCCCTCATGTAGCAGCCACTCCACCAGTGCGGGATGGCCAAACCTGGCAGCCAGGTGTAATGGGGAGACACCTGAGGCATCTTGGACCTGTCGGGGAAACAAGCAGGACACTGAACCTATGCGGGTCCCAGTGCAGCCTGGCTTTGCAACACCATCATGGCCAGAAGCAGCTGCCTGAGGCTGGTCTTCCAGAAGACCTTGTTAAGGCTTGTAGCTGGCGTCTTTCTTGTTTCTTCCAACTCCTACTGAATAAGTAGCTTGACTGAGGAAGGGACTGGGCTAGGCCCCTGGGATCCCTCCACACCCCAGCTGTCTGCCTTTCTGATCAACTGAGTCCCCGCACATTTTGCACATGCTCAGAAAGGATTCCACTGACTCTCCACACAGATGTTCCAGGACAGGGGCCTCTAGACCTCTGCCCCTCCTCCCTCCTCAGGATGGTCCTCAAGGCATTTCTCCTGAAGGTGTCAAGCATCTGGCAGACCTGGGCGTTCCCTCAGGGTGCCATGATCCAGACAGAGTCTGGAAATGGGCCAGGGCCTGCCCTTTGCCCTCAGGAGTCACCGGTGAAAAGGAGTGTGAAGGTTGGAGCAGCTCTATCTATGCAATGTGCTGGTGTCTCCGTCTCCAGCCAATGTTGGCAGCTTTCTGGAGCTCCCAAGAATGCAGCATGGCTGATGACGCTTAAGTCTCTTGCCTGCACCTGGTCAAGGCATGCAGCAGGAAGGAGGCTAGTAGCTCTGTAAGACATGTTCTAGCAGGATGGATCACCTAACTTGAGAGTCTTCTCACTAAGACGGCTGTCCGCCTGTTTCCCCAGGGCTCCAAGATCCTGAGAGCCCAAGGTGCCTCTTTACAAATCCACTTCATGACCCTTTGGGGAACAGGTTCTATTGATCAGGTCTAATCAGAGATGGGATCCCAAACATAGGCAAGGCCAACATGTGCTCCTTGCTGGGGGAGGGGTGGGAAAGCCCAGATGACTTTTCTGGATACATATGAGGGTGACTGATGTAGCTTTGGTATTCAAGGGTTTGTGCTGGTTTTGTTTTGTTTTGGGGAGGGGGAGATGAGAGACAGAGACAGAGCTTAGGACCTTCCAGGGATCAGACCTTTTGGACTTGCCCCGGCCAGATTCACAGACAGCAGGTCCAGAGCCACCCTATTCTAGCTTACCTGCAGCCCGCAGCCCCCGTCACGGACCAGCCAGCACAGCTCTGCCAGGTTGCCAGTGGCCGCCGCATCATGCACTGGCGTGGCCCCGTTGTGTGCCTGCTGGTTGCCCGGCAGCTTGGCCCTCTGCACCAGGAACTTCACACAGTTCAGATGGCCAGCCCGGGCGGCATGATGCACCAGGCCAGCCCCTAACTCATCAGTGATGCCTGCGCTCAGGGCACCCGCCTCAAACAGCCGCTCCAAGGTGGCTACATCCCCGTCCTTGGAGGCCACCAGCGCCTGCTGCTCCTCCATCCTCAAGTCTGCTTCTCAGTGGTGGCGGCTTGTATGCAGGCCTAGCAGGGCTTCCTGTTTCAGGCGTGGATGCTACGGAGGGCTCTAGTTACCTGATAAGCAGCTCACTAGGCAGATGGGAGGCAGCAACAGGGGGCAGGCGGGGACTGGCCCTCAAAGCCTGGCCCCAGCAACTTGGGCTCAGTGCCTGGAGCTTTTGAGCAGGGAGAGTGTGGCCCTGGAGGGAGGGGTGTGCAAGTCAGGCCAGCAGGTGCCACTCAGCCTCTCGAGTCCTGTCACCTTGAGTGAAGCAAGAGGGTGCCTTAGCAGGACTCTTGGCTTGGGATGGGTCTCCAGCACCTAGAGGGTGTTCACAACTGCAGTCAGCTCCTGCTCAGAAACCTGTGTCAGCAAATATTTCAGTGAGAGACTAGCAGGCTACCCAGGAGGCTTCTCGATTTTCCTTGAAGAGTAGACCCACTGTGGTCTAAATAGCATCACCAGAAGGCCCCACATCTCCCCTTCCTCCCTCCCTCTCTCCTCCTCTCTCTGTGTATGTTTACCTCAGCCAGGGTCTCATTAGGGGTCTGGAACTCACAGAGAACAGAGTTCTACCTTCCTCCACCTCACAAGTGCTACAATTAAGGTGTGCACCACTATGCCTGGCTGGACTCTGTATTTGAACCTTGGTCCTTGGCTTCCAGTGGCTGCTGGATGGTAAGGGCTCTAGTGAGATGACATCACAGCCCCACGCTGGGGGTGAGGATGACGTCACAGCCCCGTCGGGGTGAGGATGACGTCACCGCCCCACGCCGGGGGTGAGGATGACGTCACAGCCCCACGCCGGGGATGAGGATGATGTCACAGCTCCACACTGGGATGAGGATGACGTCACCGCCCCCACGCCGGGGATGAGGGTGATGTCACAGCCCCACACCGGGGTGAGGATGACGTCACAGCCCCACACTGGGGATGAGGGTGATGTCACAGCCCCACACCGGGGGTGAGGATGACGTCACAGCCCCACACTGTGGGTGAGGATGGCGTCACAGCCCACGCCGGAGGTGAGGATGACGTCACCGCCCCACGCAGGGGGTGAGGATGACGTCACAGCCCCACGCCGGGGGTGAGGATGACGTCACAGCCCATCGGGGTGAGGATGACGTCACAGCCCCACGCCGGGGGTGAGCTCATGTCCTCATAGCTCCACACGGGAAGCGAGGGCTAGCACGGCCTCTCCCTGGTGCTACAGGTAGATGCTGATCAGGGACCTCTCTCATTCTATCCGAAGTCCCTTCTAAGCATTTGGTGTCATTTCACAATGATACACCAGGAAGCTCCTTCCCTTCAGCTCACACAGGCAGGCAGACAGACAGACAGGTGTACAGCAGCAAAAACAGAGACTTCCTACCCCCATCAGAGAAAGCCCAAGGCACTCAGCAAGTGCAGACATCTTTTATTGGTTCATTTAGTCTCTGACAATTGTTTTCACATGTTGTGTCGCCCTTTGGACCAGAGGCCCACATGCTAAAACATTCTCCCAGAAGACACGCCCATATAAATATTGGTACAATGTGTGCCACACACCCTCAAGATGACAGAAACCTCCGCAAAGATTGCAATTAAAGCGGAGTGAGAAATGATCAGATTTCCCACTTTGGCAAAGACAAGAACACACCAGCCTCCCGCCAGCCGCACTCCAGTTGAGTCCCTGAGTAGAAGGGAGGGAGAAGACAAGGGGCAGGGTGAACTGTGACCTCCAGGGACGAGAAGGGCCGGCCAGGCATGAGGCCGCATCTGGGCACATCAGGCCAGGGAGCCAGGGCGGTGGCACACTGGGGCCAGGGGAGGGAGGCTCTGTAGGAGCACGTGGGAGGCCACGACGGAAGACAGAACCAAGTTTCCTATTTTCACAGGAGCAGCTAAGTGACAGTGGGCTTTATCTTCTGGCCAAAGTGACTCCTGGGGCCATGTGCCCCTGACAGGCTGCCCCATACGTGGGACATGCCCATTCCCACATAGCCTTTGGCAGAAGGTGACAGGGGAGTCCTATGTAGCGCTGGTACCCTGAGCCTGTGAGGATGGGATGGGGACTGGAGTGGGATTCTGTGTGACAGGCAGCTCTCGTCACTCTGTACCCAGAGTAAGAGCAGTCATCTCGGTGCCACGCGCGAGAGGGGACAGCTTAGGGGCCGGGAGCTTTCACAGGGGGTTTCCTATGGCTGGAGTGGCCAAAGTGCAGCTGGCCGCCGAGGGAAGAGTGGCTGCTGGCCCTAGCCCTAGCCCTCCAGCTTGGCCACGGCCTGTTTCAGGTCCTGCACAATGAGGTCCACTTCAGTCCTGGTGGTACTGCGGCCAACACTGAGCCGGAGTGCATTCCGGGCCACGTCCACGGGGATACCACAGCTTAGCAGCACTGGGGATGGCCTGCAAGGGAGGGACAGTATCAGCTGCAGCTGAGGACTTGCCCTCTTTTGTGCCCTACCGCCCAGACAGCTCTTCAAGCTTAGGGTGTACTGTGTCCCCTCGGTGCTATCTGCATGGCTGCTGTCACCTCTTGGAGCCCTCCTGTCCCCAGACAGTCCTCCAAGCCTACACAAAGGTAAGGTCCCCCTAAAATTCTGCAATCTGTGCTCCAGATGGGGAAGCACACTGCTTCCTAACCCTAATACCTCCTCCCATGCATCCGCCACCCATGTTCAGCTCTGCACTGAGCCCCGGCTCCTGTACTGGGGCCATGGTGAATGTCCCCTGAACGATGCTGTCTAGTGCTTCCCCAGGGTAGCCCCTGCGCCCTTCCTGTCTGTATCTCCCCCTTGGCCCTGTTCTCCAGCTGGCCTCAGTCTCCCTGGTCCTGACGGAGCCTCGGCTACCAGGCTGGACTCCAGGCATTGTCTGCCCTCCATAGATCCTTTCTCTCTTCTGTGATGGACTGACTCCCTGAGAGCCTGGTCCTTGTCCCCCTCTGCTGGCTGGCACAGGGACCCTCTGTATCTCCCTTCACACGATCATATACCATCCCACCAGCTCTGGATCCGGGGTGGATTGCTGGCTGCTGTCCCGGAGACAAGCCCATCCACCCAGCTCCAAACCCATCCACAGGCACCTAAATTGCTTGCAGCCAGGAGCAGAACCCTTCCCTCCTGTTTGAGTCTGCAGCTCAGTGGCTAGGCCGTGCATCTCCATCACCTCCACCCGAGAGTTGGGTGTAGCTAAGAATACTCACCGGTCTTCATGATCTGAGTGGCAGGAAGCACCCACGCTGGCCAGCAGTGTCTGGCACTGTGCAAGCACCACACACCCTGTGAAGACAGCGTGTGTCCCTAGACAGCTCCCGTCCCTCCCAGCCTTCTAGGTCTGGTTCCCTGCCACCACCCACTGAATCCCAGTGCAAACAGAATGCCAGGAACATGATTTCCTCTTCCCTCCAGCAACAGAAATGCCAACCCTCTTCTGCCTCCTGAGACTGGCTTTGAAAACTGAATTCTAAGCATCCTCCTCGCTGGGACCCTGACAGGCTAGGCTGCCTTGCTCACAGGCTTGGTGCCAGGTAGAGCTAAGGTCAGCTCTCTACTGCTGTGTGCACGTGGGGCACACTGCCCTCTTCTCACAAGCCCAGGATTAGACCCTTAAATTCCAGGGCTGCTGATGTAGTTAAACCAAGAACCTCTGTCACACTTCAATCAACACAGGTCCCCACTGGGCACTAGTGCCCCTGAACAAGAGGGAGATGGCTCCCTCCACAAGGGGTCTGTGAGGAGGGCAAGCAAGTCTACCTGCACCCAACAAGCATATGCTTCAGCTGCCATCATGTCCCATCAGGACAGCAGGGTTCTCTTGGACCCAGGGAGATTAAGGGGTGACACCCTCTCCCAAGAAGTCAAAAGCCAAGGGCTGGAGAGACAGCTCAGTGGTTAAGAGCACTGGCTGCTCTTCCAGAGGATCTGGGTTCAATTCCCAGCACCCACATGGTGTCTCACAACCATATATAAGGGGATCTGATGCCATCTCGTGGCCTGCAGGCATCATGTAGATGGAACCCTCCAATACATTTAAACAAACAAACAAACAAATGGATAAGTCTTTGCAGTCTTTGCTGGGCAGTGGTGGTGGCCCGTGCCTTTAATCCCCCAGCACTGGAGAGGGAAAGGCCAGCCTGCTCTACAGAGTGAGTTCCAGGACAGCCAGGGCTATAGATAAACTGGTTTTTGTTTGTTTTTGGTTTTTGTTTTTTGTTTTTTTAAAGTCAAAAGCTCCCTTCAGAAGCCCCTGTGTGAAACACAGGTCTGGGCCCTGACCTGAGGCCCTCCGGGAAATGAAGTGTTACTCTGCCAGAGTCTGCTCTGGGGAGAAGTCACCCGAACCCCTGCACTTTGCCCTCAGCCAGCCGGCACAGCAGCCCCTTGCAACCCTGAGCTGAAGGAGCTTGTCTAGCCTGGACTGGTTTTCTTTCTTTTCTAGACAGGTTGGCCTGAGCGTAGTGTGCCTGGGGGGCTCCAGGGCACGGGAAGGCCCAGGCTCAGACACATAGGGGCCAGAGTCACACCCATAGTCACCTTGAAGCTTGGACCCCTGGATGGAAAAGTTGCAGGTGTTGGGAAGTCTCTCCACCCCTGGAAACCGGCTGTTCAGGTGTATTCTCTTACCAAATTCAGCCTAAAAACCAAACCACACCACACTCAGTGATCTCTTCAAAGTTACCCTCTCCCGGCAACTCTTTGATGTCTAGCCTTTTTTTGGAAACAGAATCTCAACATGTGTTTATCTATGGGGACAGACTATGGACAAGTAAACACACTAAACACATTCACCCTTCACACACAACCATGTGACTGTGAGGAAGATACACAGTCCTGCTCGGTCCCAGGGGCCATAGGGTCTCTGATGCCAGCTGAATTCCAGGACCCAGTTCTGCTCCCTCTTCCCCCAGGACCTACTGTGCTCTCCTGGTCCCCAAACTGAGTCCCCTTCACGGGGAGGAAGTGTCTGGTGCCAGCCCTGCTGCCTGCACGCTCCCACACTAGGGTGCCTCCCTCGAGGGCAGCTTCTCCCCTCCCCCACCCCCACCCTCACCTCCAGTCTCTCCTCCAAGTAGTCTCGGACGTCCCTCATGTGGGTCTCATATGCCTCACAGTTGTCACTCACCAGCTCAGCAGCCTGGGGACAGAAGTGTGAGAGTCAAGGGACCAGACACTTGCAAAGACCCTTTCCTACAGGCTCCAGGTGTCAGAGACAACAGCGATTAAACCCTGAAGGAACCTTAGGTCCTAAGGAGCGCCATTCCATGGAGGGACAAGGGACCCCAACAGGGCCCCAGGTGTCCAAGGAGACAGTCATGAGGGAGTAGGAAGGGTGTCCCACCTGCAGGGAGAAGGCAGTGCGTCTCTAGGATAGCTGCCTGCCTTGGCGAAGGTGATGCCTGCAGGCTCTGGGCAGGGAGGGTTAGAATATTGAGTGCCTGGTGTACATGTAATGAGATCTAGTAAGGGCCGAGAAGATGTGCTGTGGTATGTTAGGGTCATGCTAACTGCTGTACAAGAGAAACCATGGCAGATGCCCAACAAAAGACTACTTAACCAGTGCTGTGGGCCACGAAAATGGACAAGAGACACCTTGGCATTCTGGGGGAGGAAGAGACAGTCACAGCTGATGCCTCAGATGCATGAGGGCCAGGAACCCCAAGGGCTCTCCCAGCCTTGAGAGTGAGGGCCTGGAAAGTGGGAGACATCTCAGGATGACAGGAAAAGTAAGAGGGACCTGGATGGTTTTGGATCCTAAGTATGATGGCTATTTTTCATTGTCTACTAGACTGCCATTAAAATCACTATGGCAACAAACTGTGGGTATGTCCAGAACTTTGGAGGGAAGACCCACCCAGAGCGTGGACAGCACCATCCCATGGGCTGGGGTCTTAGACTCAATACAAAGAAGACAGTGAGCTGAGCACCAGTGCCCATCTCTGCTTCCCTCCCGTGGATGCAATGTGACCATCCTTACAGGGCCCAGTGTCTGAAGAGTTAGCAGACCTCAGGCTCCAAAGGAGCCAGGCCAACAGTCCCATACCCGACCTGGCGCCTCACGCCTCATAGATGAACAGGGGACGCAGCCCGACTGCCTGCAGTGAGGGCAGCATTACCATCCCTCCTTCTAGAAGAGACTCAAGAGCTTTTCCTTTAAAAACTACTCTATTATTTAGTGTGTGTGTGTGTATGCATGCGAGTGCAAGTGTGTCTGTGTACATGTGTGGGTGCATGCCTATGTGTGTGTCTGTGTGCACGTGCGTGCATGCATGCATGTGTGTCTGTGCACATGTGTGGGTGGGTGCCGGTGTCTGTGTACACACATTTGCACATGGCACAGTGCATGGGGCTGTCAGAGGACAAAAGACCTTCAGGGATCAAACTTAGGTTATCAGGCTGGCTGCCTTTACCACAGAGCTATCTCACTGGCCTAGTTCCCCCCCCCCCCAACTGCTAAGCAGGAGAAACTCACCCTACCACAAAGAACAAAAGTCCCTCCTAACCCTCCTGCCTCAACCTCCCAAGTACTGAGACTACATGAGTGCACCATGCCTGGCTCTAGGTTTTCAGCCGCACCAAGGGAATTCTGGACTTTGATTAATCAGTGCAGTGATGGGAGATGCCATTCTGTATGTTTCTCATGCTGGTTAATGAATAAAGCACTGTTGGCCAATAGGAAAGCAAGATAGGAGGGACTAGGAGACAAGGAGGAAAGAGGAAGGAGTAAGGAGGAGTCAAGATGGAGAGCCTGGAGAAAGCAGAATGCCGGCCGGCTCCCCGGTAAGAGAAGACCACGTCTAAATACTAGATACATAGAAATGGGTTAATAATTAAGACAAAGCTAGCCTATAAGAAACTAGTACTGGGCCAACAGCATTATATCAAATACAGAGTCTCTGTGCGTTAATTGGGGCTGGCGCGACAGCGGGACAAGACCAGGCGGTGCGTGGGAAAACCCTACTCCTTACGGTGCAGTTGTGGGTTCATGTTCCCTGCCCAAGGTCACCAGCCTTACCTTCCCAAGGCCAGCAATCATGGGCGTGTTCTCGGTCCTGCAGGAGACAAGGCATGGTGTAAAGTAAGTGAAGGTCCTAGGAGGGAACATGAACCATTGTTCTAAAGTGCCTTACATTGTACTTCCTAAACTTGTGCCTCTAGGTGCTCAGGAACAGCCTTGAACTACAGTACACACACACACACACACACACACACACACACAGAGCCTGGACAGCCATGGTCTGCTGTAGACATGATGGCTATCCACAGTTGACAATTCCACCTGGACCCTTTTCCAACAGAGAGAACATGCCCCGCCTTCTCTGGCGTGCCAGGCTCCAGGTATAATGTGGGATGGGGACTATCCCTTAGAGAGCTTAGGAACCAACAGGAGGAAGGGGTGTACAGACACACACGTAGACACAGGCAGGAAGGAACAATGCCTAAGCTCTCACTAGCTGATCTGCCATCTGAAAGCCTAAACCCCTCAATATGCAGGGGGAAACCAACGTTAACTTAATAATTTTGTTAAGTCTTGGCTGGATGAAATTTTCTTAACTTTCTATAAGTATGTTTCGAAGCCGTTACCTGCCAGTTTATCACCAGAGGACATTCAGTTACAACCTCACCAGGATTTCATGCCACTTCTTATCCTAGCCACTCTGACAGGCAAGGGACACAGGGCATCTCAGGGTGTTTTCATTTGCATTTCTCTAAACCTAGCATCTGAATACTTCCTTGCATACTCAGAAGCTGACTAACTTCATAGGGAGATTGTCCTTTATGTCTTTGGCCCACTTTCTGTTTGTCTTTTGAGTTTGAGGAGCTCTTTATTTATTCTTGTGATGGTTAAATTGTCAGCTTGACGCTATCTAGAATTATCTGGGTAGAGAATCTTTACGAGCAATTATCTAGAGCAGGTTGGCCTGTGGGCATGTCTGTGGGAGGGGTCATCTCATTATACTAACTGGGTGGGCCTCAAACTCACACCTGCCTCTGTCTCCTGAGTGCTGGGATCTCAGACATGCTCTACCTCCTGACTCTTAAACGGTTCAGGACCCAAATCCCGGGAATGGTTTGAGGCCAGCCTGCTCTCCAAAACAAGTTCCAGGACAACCAGAGCTGTTACACCGAGAAACCCTGCCTAAAATAAAAATAAAAAAGTGGAGAAAGCCAGCCGTTGGTGTGTTGTTGCCAGCTGCCCCTACAGCCTTGAATTCCCTGCGGTGCTGAGCTGAACCTGGAACTGTGAGTTCAGATGAATTCTTTCTCCCCTGGCTTGTTTTGTGGGCAGGAAACAAGGACAACTCTAGATGTTGATGGGTCTGTCGCTAAACATATTTTCCTGGTAGGCAGCCAGGCTTTTGGTAATGGCTGTTCATAAAGCAACAGTTTAAGGTGTGTGATATGTTCCTCCATGTGTGCATGTGTGTGTACGTGTGCGACCAGGAGTTGAACAGTTTCTTCTTTAGTCATGCCCCCCCTTTTCTGTTGTTGGTGGTGAGGTCCCGCTGAACCTGGGGTTCACTGATTTGATGGGACAAGCTAGTCAGTGAGCTCTGCGGTGCCACCCATCCCCACCCAACCCAGCCCCAGGGACAGAAGAGTGTTGCCACGGGCAGATTGTACACAGGGCTGCAGATGCCACCCAGGTCCTGTAGCAGGCACTTTAGTGCGTGTGCCATCTCCTCAGCACCAGCAAGGCCTCACTTGGGATACGGTTTTATAATGAAATGGCTCCATCAGATGCAGGCTGGCCACCAATGACCTCGTGTGCTTTCATGTCGCCTGGGAGCTCGTACAGAGTTGCTGATGCCTGTGCTGGGAGTGTAACAAGGGTGGAGGCAGGTTTGCATATGTCTGCCTTTACCACATCAGACGTTTCCATTCATGAGCACGAGCACAGGAAGTTGTTTACTTACATTCACCATGGTTCTGGTCTCGGCACATGATTCCTAGATTCCTAAACATTCTAGTGGACTCATGCCTGAGTGTTTTTCATTGTAAATGACCGGTGATATCTACCTGTTCGCTAGCAGTAGACACACACGTAACGTTCTGGAAGTTTCTTCTTATACTGTGACCTTATTGAGTCTAGAAGTGCTTTCCCTGGAGGCTCTACACAGGCAGCCTCATTCTCTGTTCTGGAACAGTGATGGCTTCCACTCTTTCCTCTTTCTGCCTGCCTCCGGCTCCCAGCAGGGTTGAAGCAGCAGGTTGACAGCTGACTTTACCACCTTTTTCCAGACGCATGTTCTCTGACCCTGAGCTGACGGCAGTGGCTGTGGGTGAGGGAGAGGAGCCATTCCCAAGCTCAGAAATTTCCCTTCGCTGTTACCATCTGAGAGTTTTAAGAGGAATAGGAGTTGCTTCTGTCGAATGCTTTTCCTGTAGTAAATGAAACAGTGGTGTGATTGTTTCTATTCAGGGCCTGTTGACAGCGGTGGATTGCACTGATAGTGTTGATGCTGAACGACTCTGCCGCCTTGGTGCTGGCATCAGGCGACACCAACTTCATAAAAAGCCCACTGTCCTTTCCTCTCTTCTCTGGAAGAAAACGAGCAGATGTGGTTGGTGATCCCTAGGCATTTGGAAAGATTTTCTAGTGAAACCAGCTAGGGCTGGAGATTTCCTTCTGGGAGTTTTAAAGCTAGATTCCATCTCCAAAGACACAAGGTGCCATCCTCGTGATTTACTGGCAATGGGGCTCCCAGGCGGTCCTCACTGGGTCCCCATGCCTGCAGGGTCTGAAGCCGCACTCCTCCAACCCTGACTGAGCATTTTCTCATTCCTCTTTGTCAGTTTGGGGGTTTTCCTTTCTTTCTTTTTTTTTGGACAAGATAGCCTGGGCTATCTGAATTCCTGGTTCTTCTGCCACTGCCTCCCAAGCACTAGGGTTTGGGCTTTTGTTTTAAAGAACCCGTCTTGGCTTCCCTAATCTGTTTTCACAGGGGCAGTTTCTTCCATTTCCAGGGCTCATTTTGGTCTCCATTTTGCTCTCAAGTTCTTCGTACAGCAGCTTAGGCCCTTGACCGCACGTTTTTCTTCTTTAGAATACAAACTGTCCTTTCAGCCTGTTGTAGCTAGATCCCCATACCCGCTAAATCCAGTTTCATCCAGTTCTCTTTGCCTACTCTCCCCCACCCCCCATGACTCCTGGTTGTAGTGTTTCCTGTTTGCAGTTGTTTAGGAACTTTTCTATTCTCTGGAATTTGCTTCCAGTCCACTGTGGCTAAAGAGCAAACGCTGTAAAGTTTCTGTTCTTAACCGCCCTGTGGTCTGCTAAGGGGACAGCAGTCACCTCAGCGCTCGGGGCTGAGGTTGGTTGGAGAGCTTCCCTCCTGTGTTCCGAGGCCTCCCGAACAAGGTGCTTGTAGGGATTTCTGCCTCCTTGATTTTGTCTGGTGACGAAGCCTCTGTTGAGAGGGGGGTGTCGAAGTTTCCCACTATAACCGTGGGTTTCTCCCTGTCCCCCTTTCTCTCTGGAGAGTAAAACCAGGCCTCCTCGCGCATGCTCAGCAAGCCCGCCACGGAGCTCTCGGCCAGCTATTTCTTCTTTCATTCTGCCATGTCTGCTCTGTGGTGTCCACTCCCTGAACGTCCTCCGCGGTGGACTCAGCCTTCTTCCTACTGCAGCAGCCTTCTCCATCGGTGCTCTCCAGTCCATTGTAGCTGGGATGAGAATGCCATCCCCCTGTCCCCTTCACTTTGAGCCAGCCCCTCTGGATATATTTGGAGTCTGTTTAAAGGGATTTAAGTTTTGTGAGGGGTGTGTGTGTGTGTGTGTGTGTGTGTGTGTGTGTGTGTGTGTGTGTGTGTCTGGGGGAAGGCGGTATGCATGTGAGTGCAGGGGCCTCGAGGGCCATGGACCTCCTGGAGCTGGAGTCACAGGTGGTTGGGATCCAGCTAATGTGGGTGCTGGGATCAGAACTTGAGTCTTCTGCAAGAACAGCAAGTGCCCTTCACAGATGAGCCATCTCTATAGCCCATGACATTCCCTTTATGTGTTTGTTGTATTTAAACCATTTACATTTGACGTCATTACTGAAATGACAGCCATGTCATTAGTTATGGTTAGTGTCAATTGTCACCTTGATTGGGTCTAGAGTCTCCGGGGAGACAGAACTCTGGGCATACAGAGATTATCTTGATTACATTAACTCATTAACTGAGGTGTGAAGACCCACCCACTGTGGGTGACACCATTCCTTTGGCTGGGATCCTGAACTCAGGTAAAGAGAAGGGGTTGAGCAATAGTATGGAAGTCATCACTCTCTGCCTCCTGGTTGAGGATGCGCTACAACAAGCTCCGGCTGCCTGGACTTCCCACTGTGACAGACCACATGTATCCCTTAACTGAGAGTCAACAGAAACCCTCCCTCCAGTTGCATTTGTCAGTGTTTTATCCTGGCAACAGTTAAATAAACTAAGGCACCGGGGCTTGAAACTGCTTCCTACCAATTTTTTGTGGCACCACCAAAACTACTACCTTGTGTATGCTGGTTAAGAGTTCTACCGTTGAGCTACGCTTCCAAACCCTCCTGCTTTTTAAAACTGTGCTTTGTGGTTACTGCCCACAAATTATGTTTTAATTTGGAGATATACCTGTTCATCTCTTTGAAATTTTTTTCCCTGAGGCTCCAGACATTATATGTATTATACTAATATATCATATTGTGTTGGCTAGTCTTATGTTAACTTGATATACACACTAGAGTTATCTGAAAGAAAGGAACCTGATTGAGAAAATGCCTACATAAGATTCAGCTGTAAGGCATTTTCTTAATTAGAGATTGATGTGGGGAGGGCCCAGCCCGTAGTGAACGATGCCACCCCTGGGCTGCTGGTCCTGGGTTGTATAAAAAAACAGGCTGAGCAGGCCACGAGGGACATGAAGGCCAGTTCGCCAGGTGTGGGGTTCCAGCTTGATGGTTTTCTCTCAGCACTGTGCAAAACCCTTCTCTGGTCCCCATGGCTTCCAATGTCCCCATGGCTTCCAATGTGAAATCTGTGTCATTCAAAGTATTTTCCTCTTGCCCATCAGATGTCATCTTTCTTCCATTGTTCCATTTTTAAATATCTTGGCATATATTTCTAGGTTTATCTTGGGCTAGTGCAAGTATTGCCCAGTGTTACTTCCTGATTGGCTGGCTGGCTGCAGCCTTTACATGGAGGCGGTCCTTGCCTTCCCTTACCACTGTTTCCAGAGTCTGGTTCTGGGTGTAGAACACTTGCCAAGGAGCACCATGACATTGTTTCCGCCCCCGCCTCTTCTTAGGCGTTCTAACGAAGGTGTTGCTGGCACTGATTTTGGGGTTAAGACATCACATATGCAATAGAGACCCGGGTTTCTCACAAAGGAAAACAGAGTCCCATTTGAGCCCCTACTGAAGAGAACAGCAGAGCAGAGCAGCATGCTGGGAACCCAGCACCCTGAAGTATTTATGAGAGAGGGGGACTCCTATCACGTGCTCTGAGTCACCCGAGAGACTGCAGGACTGAGACTCACTGCAGCCATCAGTCCGCAGCCATTCTGACTTGGGGTCACGTGCACTGTGCTTCTGAGAGACAGAAACGGCCAAGAAACCGGACAGTAGTGTGGCCAGCCGGGCAGAAGCTTGTAGGCTTTCAACCTTACCCTGGCCTGAAATTCCGCTCTTGTCCACCTCCAAACAGCATGGGGTACAGGGGGGTAAGTTTACCGACCCCTCGTACATACAGAGCACCAATCCTGGGACCGTAGAACTGGAAGGAAAAGCCAGTCATTTACTCACTGGGAACTGCCTGGTGACCTGTTTGTTCCGTTTGTGTCTGAGTGCTAGGGGCTTGGAAGTGTCCAGGAGGGCACGGTTCTGCTGTTTCCTCGTGGCCTGGGTTGTCTATCTGCTACCCCTCCGGTGTATGGGAGTCACAAGAGCCCCCAGGTGCAGAGCAGAGCCCCAGCCTGAGCAAGGGCAGCTGCTGGACTCACGGCCCAGCCCTGTGTTGAGAGAGCCCTTGGTACAACAGGGTGGTGAAGGAAAGGGCTAGCACAAGAGATGGCCAAGGGCTTTTCCTACCCATTGCTCCGGCCCTCTCAGTGTTAGAGGCAGAGGGTTAAGGGTCACAGTGTCTGGCCAGCTCGTGTGCTCCTTTAGGCAGCAGCTAAGGGCTATGCGGCACAACAGCACAGGATGTCCTGGTCAGCGGCCAGAAAGCCAAGGTCTTTGCTATGACCTTGTCCCTGAACTGCATCTTGACGGGTCACTGAGACCAAACCAAGTTAGAGGGAGCCACACTCGGCTGGGCCCATCTCTTCTGTGCTTGTGGCGTCCTTCACATGGGCAGACGAGGTCTTTGCATACATCTCCCTGCAACCAGCACTCTGTGTGTACCAAACCCACGGCCGGCCGGCCTCCACCGAGCCCACATGGATGGGCTGTCCTGCCATCCGTGTCTTGCCAGATGTCATCCTAGCTGTTACTGGCCCCGTCTCACACACACACGGAAAGCTACTGAGGACAAAGCCCTTCCTGAGTTGCTGTCACTGCATCTCAGCACCTGGTCCTTGACAGGCACCTGGAGCTCACTTAATCAGTAAGGAACGGCAGGGCTGAGGGTTGCACGCTGCTGTGGCCGTTAGGAGCAGGGAAGGCGGCCCTTGCACACATACCTTGTGCCCCACGATGGTCAGGAAGTCCACACCCAGGTCCTCTACATCCACTCGCCTCTTTCCCAGCGCCTGAGCCGCATCCGTGTGCACGAGGATTTGAGGTAGGCCCGAGGCAGCCCGGCTCTGGTTCAAGGCCTTAATTCGTCGACTGATCTCGGGGACAGGCTGAAGTGGGAAGGGAAGTAAGCAGCTGAATGAGTATGTGGTTCCGATTTGATGGGGACGGAATGATTGACAAGAGCTGCAGAAGGCAAAGCCAAGCCGCAGAGCTCAAGACAGAAAAAGAACAGATCCCCCCCCCCAACCCAGCGCCTTCCCCCTGGGGCTCACCATGATGACTCCAGTCTCGTTATTGGCCAGCATAATGGTCACAAGGCATGTGGTGGGCCGGACAGCCGCCAGGACCTCCTCAACCTCTACCTGCCCGGTCACCTTCGACACTGGGACAAAAGTGACCTCTGAGATAAAAATGCATATACCGAGGTTAACCATGCAAATAACTCCATATTTATATTTTTGTTTTAAAGAAAGGAATGTGTTATCAGAGTTCAGAAAACATCACAAGAGGAATTTAAGGTACTGTCCATTGAGAAACTCAGGCCCCAGCTGTTCTCACAACTGCAGGGCTTGGGTGGCGAGTAGCTGCAGGAGGCTGGAAGCGCCATGGTGACAGGCAAAACCTTTGGTGACACATTAGCAGACACACCCAGGGAGAGACAGCAAAAAGTGGATTTTTCCAGGGACAAATGACCAAAGGACCACAGAGCACTGGAACAGACTCCACCCACACTCTGCCCACAGCCAGTGGAGTCTAAATGCTGGCTGTCCCATCAGCAGACAGATACCTAGAAAGGCAGCCCGAGCACCCTCTCTACCCTCTGCCTCTTGGGATAGATTTAGGCATGGCCATGACTGTGTGCAAGATACGAGAAAGAAAAAGGAAGGAAGGAAGGAAGGAAAGAAAGAAGACACATGCCTTTATTCCCATCACTCGGGTGGAAGAGGCAGGTGGATCTCTGTGAGTTCAAGGCCAGCCTGGTCTACAGAGCTAGTTCCAGGACAGGCTCCAGAGCTACACAGAGAAACTCTGTCTTGAAAAACAAACAAAACTAAGCCCTTTGTTTGAAATATATGTATACTTCTTGTAAGTCAATAAAAAGATAAGTACTCCAACAAAAATTCGGGCAAGGGGACAAAGGCCCCTGCCCATTCGTGGAAGAGCACTGACCTAGCACACCTGAGGCCCTTCGAGCAATCTCCAGCAACCACTAAACACAAAAATTCAAACCCAAAACAGGTAAGAACACGAGTGAACATTCCTACAACGGAGAGCCAAGACAGTGTGAAAAGATGCTAGATAACAAGCCACAGAGGTACAGTCCATGCGGATGACTACTGTAGAAAAGACAGGCAAGAAGCTCTGACAGGGACAGAGACAGCTGATGGTGTCAGAGGGTGACACTGACCTGGAAAGCAGAGGCTTGGGTTGATCACATCTACACAAGCATCTGTCAAATTCAGCTGTGTTATGCCCCAGCAATTCTGCTCCTAGGTGCTGGGCCAAGAATAGGAACTGTCCACACAAACACCCACAGAGCAGCTCACAGCAGCATTATTCATGCAAGTAGGAACAGCCATCAGCTTCTAATGGGCTAATCAAATGGGGTACACACCCTGATCAGAATGCTACTCATGCACAGGGTGAATGAACCAGGTTCTGTGTGGCCTCTCTGCCCTCCTCAGGGAGCTCCAGGCCAGGCCCCATGGTCACTGACCTGCTGTGTGTTCTTCTATGAGATGCTCCAGGACTAGTCGGATTGAGTCATGTTCCACCGTGCATGTAATAAAATGGGGCCTGGCGCCCTCCTCAGGGCTGTACTGGTCAATCATGTGCCCCTTCAGGGTCTGCTGTTCATGGAAATACTTCACCATCGAGTGGATTACTAAATTATTTGACTGTGGAGACACAACAGAGAGAGTTGCCACCCATACTCCCAGTGGAGACAGCGAACCTCTTGCTCATTACTCTCTTTTGTATCTGAGACTTCAAAAGGAAAGGACCAGAGCATCACCCTCCTGACGGGCCTGTACCTGTGGAGAGCCTCCAAACTCCAGACATTCTAGGACTCACTTCAAGTGTGCCTGTTCTGTTAGTAACCATGACCCTTCATATCATGTGAACCTGTCAGGAAGGAGAATTCCATCCCTGCTTGGAGGAATGCAAATTGGAGGACATACATGCACAAACACAAATAAGATGAAAGAAAGAAGTTTAAAGATCAAAAGTCAAATGAAAATTAATGTTAAGATATTTGACACGGCGGCCCCTGGTGTGTGCTGGCTGCCAGCTGCAGGAGTGCAAAGCTGTGTTCACACTTGTGCACTGGTCGGTCACTCGGGGCCCTGGATGGCTGCCAGGGTAAAGCCCGTGCTTCCCTTGCGCTGTGTGTTCAAAGCACTGACTTGTTTGCTGACTGTCATCTACCTGTGCTGGGCGCCCGTCATTTGTAAGCTCTGTGTGATAAACACCTTTTCCCAATGCTCTCTTTCTTTCCTCTGTGTCCTCTGATGATTCAAAGTTCATTTGTTATTTCTGTTGTGACAGAATTCAATGTCCTGTTTTGGCTCAAACCTGCGACCCTCCTGCCTCCTGCCTCAGCTTCCCAAGCAAACGTCCTCCTTTAAGGGAAATGCTATCCACGTTTTCTTTGAGAAACCCTCCATTGTCAGATCCTGCAGGTACCCTACTATTATGCCAATGACAGCTGTTCAAGCCTGTCCTGAGAAGGCAGGGTGTTTGGCTACCTAGGCACATGGCAAGTGCAGTCCATACTGTCACACCGTTTCTGAACAACCGTTTCTGTCCTTGTCCAAACTGTCTAGTTACTGGAGCTCTTACAGACTTGGTTTGGAGACTACCCAGTCTTCCAGAAGTCTGGGCCCTTAGTTCCCACATAAGTTAGTTGACAGTTAACTGACAGGTGTCAGAATTTCGACAGAGGCCGCACTGAGTCTAGAGATCACTTTGAAAAGAACCCATGTATGCCCTCCAGTCTGCAAGTGAGATACACCGCCCTACCTCAGAAGGTCTTAACGGCTCCAGGTAACATCTCTACCCTCCCCGGGAGCCCTTATCGGCTCTTCTCCACTCCATCCATTCCCTAAGGGGTGAACATCTTTTGTTTGTTTGTTTTTAAGTCCTGGCAAAAGCCTATTACTGGCATCAAAAAACCCAATTCACTTTTAATTTAAGACCTACTATGGCTGAAGCAAACTGACCCACAGCCAACAACTGTCCCTGTCCCTTGCAATGTCTTCTTTCTAGGTTTATCTCCAATTCACTCTATCAACTTAAAATGAGTTGGGACAGGTGAAACCACAGACTCAGTGCTACAAACACCTTAGTAGGAAATCACAGAAGAGTCCCAGAACAATGTGGAAGAGAAAGCCGGCATTACTGGTTCCAAAACAATGGCAAGAGCAGACCCCTCCCACACTTCACTCCTCCTTAAAGCTAAGAAAGCAACTTTACCTCGGTGCCCCCAGAAGTGAAGATGATGTCCTGAGGCTTCCCGCCTATCATCTTGGCCAGGCTTGCCCGAGCTGCATTTATAATGTCCTTGGCCTTCTTACCTTGAGAGACAAAAAAAAAAAAAAAAAAAAAAAAAAAATGTTAATTACTATCAATTCCATGTTTAACAGGGCAGTCGCACACAGGGGAGCTGAGGGCTGGGGTGATTCCAGAAGGAAAATACAGCCACCCCAGGTGAGTACACATCCTACCACCTGAGACTTAGCAAGTCAGTGGCCACCACTAGCCTTACGGATCTCGGTGAGAGCCAGGGGCAGCCTGGTTGGGAGTGAGAAACCTATGAGCTCTTCTGGTACAGCTTTGCTTTCTTACTGGATGCTGGGGGTGGGGGATGGGGGTTATGGCTCACTTTCCCATTCAGGAGGGACAAGGGGAAGAGGTAAAAAAACAAAAACAAACAAACAAAAAAACAGAGGTAAGCAAAGTTGAACGGGAGACTTCATACACCAAACCAGTCAGTACCTTCTCTCACACTGCAGGCCAGCCTTGGGACACAGGAGGAAGGCTGAGGACATCTGCCTTCAGAAAGGTGTCCTAGGTGCCACCCAGTTTCACTGGACAGTGTGTCAGGGCTCTCAGCCAACACACCAGTGGTTCCTGAATCGGATGCTGGATCCATGCCAGCTTCCCCATGCTGGACAGTCATTTGGCCAAAGCTCCTCCCTACTTCCAGCTGTTGTTGGCTGTTACAAGCAAGGCCAAGGCACATCTGGAGTGCTCAGACTCTTCCCACAGAGCCTCAGTGCAAGCTGCTCTAGATTTTAAAATCTAATACCGGGAAACCTTGAAACGTCTGTGATGATGGGTTGTAGTGGTGCATGCCTTTAATCCCAGCACCCAGGGTATGGGGGTGCAGGGAGAGGGGAGGCGGATCTCTGTGAGTTTGAGGCCAGCCTGGTCTACAGAGTGAGTTCCAGGACAACCAGGGCCACACAGAGGAAACCCTGTCTTGAAAACAAACATTTGTGATGAGTGACCTTCACTTTTCTTCCCCTTTGTGGCATTTCTACTCAGATGTCAACCGAAAGCAGCTGGGATGTCACTCAGGCCAGAAACAGTCTCCCAACTGGTTGCCCCCACTCCCCTGCTACCCTTCATCGTCTTGGCTTCCTGCAGTGTATCCATTCAGAAGTTTGACCATACCATAGGAGACACTAGTCTAGAAATGAGCCAACAGACGAGTTAATGAGTGGCTGGCCTTGGACTTGGGAGTCTGTGTCACTGAGCTGCTGGTGAGCTGTTATGAGACCCACCAAACCCTCGTAGGAGGAACATAGCAAAAGTAAGGCCAGAGCTTGACCCCTGTGTGACAGTCAGCGTGTGTCATCTTAAGTCCCCTAGATGGCTTTCCGTTCATAATAAACCAGCATTAATATGCTTCACCTTAGTCACCCTAACACACAGCACAGGCAATGAGGGCTGGTGCAGGGTCCTGGCCATCCCACTGATAAACACTAACTAGCAAGGCAAGGCATTAGCCTCCAGGTCTATAAAAAATCGTGGAATACTGTTTCTAACTACTGACTTGAAGCAAATTATTATCCAAAAATTCAAATTTAAAACTCTATATTACAAAGGCAAACTAGAAAGAATATCATTATTCAACCCAAGCAAAAAAAACAAAAACAAAAAAATCAACTTCCCTTTTTTGCCTTTTTTTTCAAAATTCTTTATTTTGCATGAGTGTGCATGTGTGCACACATGCGTATGGGTGCACACTCATGTGGAACCCAGAGGTTAAGTATCTTCCTTGGTGCTTACTGTTTTCCTTGGGGGGCGGTCCTGCTGAACTCCAGGTGGGGTCTGGAGCCTGCAAACTCAGCTAATCTATAGAGTCAGTTTGCCCTGCCCCTGCCCCGTGAGTGCTGGAATTTCAGGCTTTTACACAGGTTCTGTGATCTGAACTCAGATGGGAACTCAGCAGGTGCTCTATCCACTGAGATCTCCTAAGCCCTGCAACTTTCCTTTCTGACAACGGTCAAGGTACACATGTAGCCTTGATGGCTGAAAAGCTTATTCCCAAAATGCCCAGGGACAGACTTCCAATCATGGAAATGGTGTTTGATGGGCACAGGCTTATAAACAGATCTCAGTGAGACCTTCATGTGGGAAAAGGTGGCAGAGGAACGCATTAAAGCCTGAACATAGCCCTCAAGGTGACAGCAGGGCTCAAGATATAATCAGGGACTTTTCAAGAAAAATGTAAAAAACGCCTGCTCAAGATATGTCTCATCTTAGGAAGAGAGAACCGACTCGTGCAACTTGTCCTCTGACCCCCGATTGTGCAATGTGGAATGCACATATGAATGAGTGAATGTAAAGAATTGTCAGGTGGTTCCTGGCCTGACTATGATACTGGGGAAGAAGACATTAACAATCAGGGGTCAGGTGATGGTGATGCATGCCTTTAATCTAGGCACTCAAGAGGCAGAGGCTGGCAGATCTCTGAGTTCAAGGCCAGCCTGGTCTACAGAGCCAGTTCCAGGACACCAGGACAGCCAGGACTACACAGAGAAACTCTGTCTCAAAAACCAGGAAAAAAGAAAAAAAGAAAAAAGAAAATCGATCAGATAGGAGGGGCTGGAGAACTGGCTCAGGTGTTAAGAATACTAGCTGTTCTTCCAGAAGACCCTGGTTCAATTCTCAGCACCCATATGAGTTTATAGCTGTCTGTAATTCCAGTTCTGGGGCTTTTGACACCCTTGTACAGACATACATGCAGACAAAACACCAAGGAACATAAAATAAAATAAATTATAAAGAAAGAAATCAGATCAGAGCTGGGCAGTGGTGGTGCTCACATTTAATCTCAGCACTCGGGAGGCAGAGGTGGGTATTGGTGAGTTCGAGGCCAGCCTGGTCTACAGAGAAACCATGTTGGGGGGGGGAGAGAAAAAAAAACAACCAAATAAACAAGAATCTAATTAGGTATATTTTTGTAACATGGTGCTGATTTACATAGAAAACACTATGTAGACGTTAATAACACATGTTTAAGATTATAATATAATTGTTTATTTGGTTTTTTGAGACAGGGCTTCTCTGTGGAAGAACACTGGTTGTCCTGAACTCACTCTATAGGCCAGGCTAGCCTTGAACTCACAAAGACCTGCCTGCCCCTGCCTCCTGAGTTAGTTAAGGGTATGTGCCACCATGCCTGGCTTTTGCTAACTCTTGGGAATTCTGTTAAGTAATGTAGGCATTGTAGTAACTAGATTTTATATAACATCCCTCTACACATGGGGAAATATGCTCTTTAAAGCTGAAAGAAAAAAGAAAATCTTGGAGAGCTCCAGCTCTATTGTCATGGATTCTTCTAGAATTACCTGCCACATAGGAGCTGCTGGGGTTGCCCCAGGCTTCCTGCATGGCCTCTGTCACAGCCTGGATGACTGCCGGCTCCAGAGGTGTGGTGGCATTGTAGTCCATATAGACCTTCCTGTAAGAAAGAGATCAGCCTGTGAAGGGAGGAAAGGCATGGTGCGGGCAGCGGCACTCCAGGGGTACGGGAGACACCACGATTTCCAGGCACCCGGTACCTGGCGCACACTAGACAGGCATACTCTCCCCCAGCTTAAGGCTGACTGACTGCTGGAGGGCAGCAGAATTGCCACTGGCTGGGGAGCCACACATCCCCTGGAGATTTCCTGATGACTTCCAGTGGGCAGCTCCTGGAATGGGCTCCTAGAGCAGCAGGTGTCCATGTCCTATGGCTGTCCCGCCCTCCTTGGCTCTCCCTGGGGCAGGCTTGCACTTTCTTGCCCTCCACCCCACCCCACCCCATCTAAACTTGTCTAAGTCTTTGCTTTAGTATATCTGCTTGTGTGAGGCTGTTCTGTTTGACTCTCAGGCCCCAGCTTGGCCTTCCATGTTCCCACGCGTCCCCTGTAGCCCCATTCATCATCTGACACATGCTTAGTGTTGTCTCTGGGGGCTAAGAGAAGGGAAGCTCCGGGAACAAGGGGCTTTGTCATCTGAGCCCTGGATAGGCTGCCACACAGCAGGGATTCCATTCACAGGATGACAGAATGCAAAGTCTCAGGGACCCTAAGAAGACACCCTGGTGCTCTCACCAGAGTCACCAACCTTCCGAAATCTCTATGGTAAGCTACCAGTCCTGAAAGTGTATTTCACATGATTAAAATTCAATACTGCTCAAGCCAATGTGTTCTGAACCCAACACAATAATTGACTGCGCCCTCTAAGCCAAGGGGGACATCACAACAGGTAGTTTTGATGGTCTGTCTTTGCGTTAAGTCCCACAGAGTCGCCTAACCCTGCAAAGCTTGGAGCCTTGGAAAGGGTGACTGATCACCCAGGAGCTGGAGTCAGTGGGCTTTCTTTCCATTAATGCAGGGACTTTGCCTGTGCCCCAAGCCTGTTCCTTCCTATGAATAAAGACCCCAAAGGGCTGCAAGCCCACTGGTCTGCCGAGCTTTCCTGTCTGTAGCTTGGCTCAAGTCTCATCAGTGAGGATGCTTCCTGAAGAAAGTGAAACTGCTTAATGACTGACTAGCAAAAGCTGACGCCACGCTTAGGCCTTTATGAGACCAGTTCTCACTGTGTAATCCAGGCTGACCTCCAAATCACAATTTGCCTGTCTGTTTCCAGCGCTGGGATTATAGGCATGCTCTATAGACTCACATTTTGAAAGAGATATCCTACATCCTAGGCATAGGCACAGAAGTTGCTTATTTAAACAGAGGGCAAGCCTGTAATCCCAGCGGGAGGAGGCAGGAAATAGTGAGCGGTAGGGAAAGGAAAAGAAAGAGGAAGAAGAAGGAAAAAAAAAAAAAAAAAAAAAAAAAAAAGGACGAGAGGAGGAGGGTAGAAGAGGAGGCTCATGGTAAGACACATTCCTGGGTGGGAGAAGACTGAACCAGAGCCGGCACCTTGCGCTCAAGGGGAGGAATTCTCCAGAGCATTGCAGGCGGCCAGAGCCTGCAACCTCCTGCACCCTCCAGGGGCCTCCAGGGCTCACTCACCGAGGTTCACTTTTCACCTCGGGGCGGCCATCCCTAAAGTCCTCTCCTGTCCCACACCCACGATGTCCTACTTTTTAAGCAGCAGCGATTCCTTTTAGATGCAGATAATTGTGGTTCGGCTGCCCGCTCCAGCCTCCAAGACCCCATGCTGTGGGAAGCAGGCCGAGACCCACTCTGGGACAGCTGTTGTCCGCGGGCTCCCTTCTCTCCTAGTTTCGGCGGTGGCCCGTCCTCTCTCGGGTGGTGTGGCCCGACTTATCTGCGTGTCCCTTGACCCCACTCCCTCCGACCACGCCAGTCCCTCATTGAGGTCCCCCGGGTGTCCCCATACACCGCGGGCTCCCTGGAGGGAACGCACCTGTCGGGTGGGCTCTCCGCGCGACCCCGCGTGCTTCTCCGCACCGCGTCCATCCCCTGATCGCCAGTGGGTCCTGTCACCCCAAGCCTGAGTGCCCTCAGCCTTTCTCAGGGGGTGGAGCCTCGAGTCCCCAGGTATCCGCATTGGTTGCGCGCCACGCTCGGGCCAATCCGCGAGCCTCACGCGGCCTCCGCCCTTGACTGGCTGATTGGCTGTGTGGGGTCAGGTGGCGGTGAGGCGGAGCTAGGGACAGTTAGTAGCCACCCGACTGTCTGTGTGTCTAACAGGCCTCCGCAAAGCGCGCGGGGCTCTGGACTTGGGATTTGGGGGTGGGGGTGGCATACTGACACCGAGCCTCAGGAGCCCACCTTCCCTGGGCTGTCAGCCAATGACAGAAGGACCTGTAGCTTCACCCGTCACCGCAAAGTTGATGTAACAAAAAGTGCTAGCAGAGCAACTAGGGTGGTGTGGGTGCCGGAGCCTGTGCGCCCCCCGAAGGGTTGGCGACCAGTGCCTAGACCTAAGTGCCCGCTAGACATCAGATTCCCCAGTTCCGATTTCCCGGATGATTTGATTGAGTGAAACTGGAAAGCCAGAATCCACATGACAGCTCACAACCATCTTTATGTAACTCCAGTTCCAGGGGATCTGATGGTCTTTTTTGACCCTTACAGCCACTGGGAATGCACATAGTACACTTACCTAACATGCAGACAAAACACACACATAAAATGATAATAATAATATAGAGTGGAATGACAGTAACAAACGCGACATCACTAGGGGATATCTGGAAGTTACTGTAGTACCTGATCTTTGAAACTCAGGAAGGGAACAAGGGCTCCAAACAACTAGATACATAAGCCCTAAACCGAAGCTATGGTTATTTTGTTGTTTATTTCAAAACAGGGTTTCACAGCTCTGGCTGTCCTCTGCCTCCTGTGCTGGGATTAATGGCATGGGCCATCACCTCCTAACTTCAAGCACTTTCATTCTGAAACCCATCCATCGGCGTCAGCACCCCAGAACTGAACACTTGTCTGCTTAGCTGAGTGCTAAGGTGGTATACATGCGGATAGCATCCCAGAGAAGTCCCCTGTAAAACTAGACTAGATGTAGCTCTCCCTTCCTCTCAGGGGGGCATCCTCATCTTGGATGGGCTAGACCATCCTGGGCAGGCCTTGCCTTCACATTCAATTTATCACAACAGTGATGTTTTCACACACTGGTAGCAGATCTCAGTGCCAGTTTGACACATTCTTAGAATTTGTGGTTACATCAGATATTACAATTGTTCTTTTGCTGCAGCTATTGCCTTTGAAACACAAACATGAGACTCAGCGCCCACGTGGAGTTTATTGGTTGAGGGGAGAGAAAAGGGGAGGGGGTAGCTGGTGGCCAACCAAAAGCAGGAGAAAGAGAGTGGAGGAGGGAGAGAAGAGAGAGGCACCTTTGCTTTAAAAGGGAAACAAACGGTGCATGCATAACAGAGTCCCCTGCACAGCCAGGTAACTCAGTGATGACATGGCCACGAGCGATCGTCCCACCCATCATCAGGGTGCAGGGTCAGCAGACCGCTGGTTTCCGACAATAAAGGCACACACCACAGCCCCCTTTCACCGTCCCTCAGGCTCCAGACTCCTCCTCTTTGGTGTTGTACCACATGTTGAAGATGGTGGGCTGTTGTTGTGTACCTATAGGCCTAGGAGTGTTTACAAACTTTTAGAACTCTCTGCTCAAGCAAGGTTTCCTCACCATTCCTGGGGGCTGTCAGCGGCGACAGCAGGACCAGTGGCTTCGCCTGTTGCTGCAGTTGGTGGGAGAAGAGTGCTGGCATGTACAGTGCCATGAGGGGTGACCACAGCAGCAGCTGACAGCCTCAGCAAGAGCTGGAGACTCTTGCTGTGCTCGACTGCTAGGATGAGACTGACTGGACCTGCAGCTTTCCCTGACTTGCTAATCTGGAGGGAGAGTGTGGGTAAGTGCACCGCACAAAGGCTCAGGCAGTGGGAGTCAGGGTGGCTACTGGGGACTACCTCTCCACTACCTTCCCAGAGCCATGGACACAGGACGGCTTCTCACTTTTTACTGTCGTTTTTTGTTTTGCTTTGCAAGACCAGGTTTCTCTGTACAACAGTCCTGGCTGTCCTGGAACTCGCCCTATAGACCAGGGCATCTTCGAACTTACAGAGGCTTGCCTATCTGCCTCTGCCTCCTAAGTGGCTTTTCACTTACTGACAGTAATCTTTCTATTTTGTAGATTTTGTAGTCTTCAGGGCACAAGACTTGTGTTTCTTTTGATTGTTTGAGATGGCAGGAATGCACATCCAAGAAAGCCCTAGTGTTAAACAAATCGACCACTATTTTATTCCACTCTAACATTGCTATGAAATTATTTCACATTTATTGGTAGTATACAGGACTGCTTGATGCCTTGTATATTGGTCAGTCATGTGCTTTGCAACTTGGAAAGCATCACTGCCCTTACTGAATTCTTATTCAAATCAACAAGACATGGACTCATTAAGGGAATGACCAGATTTGTTAAGGAACCGCACATTCCTTTGGGAAGGAAAGCTTCAAAGAACACCCCATGTTCTACCCTCTGGTGGCTGTAAACGTGAGCTGCAGGTTTCGAACACAATTGTGTTGTTCTGTCAGCTTGAGATACTACCTACAGCTTTTCTCATTGAGGTCCGTGGAACCCTCCAGCGTGCCAAAGCCCTTGTCCCGTTTGTGGAGAGTGGTCTCAGTTCTTTGCCAGTGGGTAATGTTGAGCACCCTTTCAGGTGATTTACTGACATCTGCTCATCTGGGAAAAGGACTATTCAGCCAGATGTGATAGCATGCAACTGTAGTTGTAGTCACATCTGTCTTGGCTGTCACGTAGTGTATCTTCTTATGTAGCTTTCAGCAGCTGTTATGGGTATCACGATACACACATATGAATAGTCTGCTAGTACCAACATTAAAAACATTTATTTTTTAAGTATGTGTATATGTGCATAGGTATGGATACATGAGTACAGTCGTCCATGGGTTCCAGAGGGCTTTGCATCCCCTGAAGCTGGAGTTACAGGTGCTTGTGGGTCACCCACATGAGTCCTTCCAGAAGAGCAGTTCATGTTCTCAGCTGCTGAGCCATCTCTCTCCAGTTCCCTAGCAACAATTTTACCATTTTTGATGACATGAGGGAGTCTTACCTGAATGAGGGGGTGGGGGTGCTAGAGATAAACCCCAGGGCGCTACACATGCTAGTTAAGAGCTGCATTCCCAACCCCTTCCCCCTTTTTAAATTAAAATTCGAGAACACTTGAGTATTTTCAAGTTTTTACATTTCCTGTCTCCAACAACTCCTGCTTCCTCACACGCTCACTTTCAGTGTCACTATGCTTGAGCATCAGATGGATAATTTCTACTTAACCATCGTCTAAGACTTCTAAAGACTCTGTCATTCCCTGTGTTTGAAGAACGTTTCAGTCTCCCTGGCTGGCTTTGGACTTGCAGAAACGCACCGACTCAGTCTCCTGAGTGCTGAGATTAAAGGCATGTCCCACTGTACCTGTACTGAAGGTTTTAGTCAATCTTTACAAAGAGGTCAGTAGTTCTTTGTTTTGCATCCTCTGAAGAATCACACTGGCTTTTCACTTTCTTTTCAGAAACAAGGTTTTTCTGAATGTAGACTTTGCCTCATGCTCCTTTTAGCATTTATCATGCATCTTCCTCTGGCTTGTATGGTTTCCAAGGAGACGAGCTGTCATTCAAGTTGGTGTTCCCTATAAGCAATGCCCATTTTTCTCTCAGGCTTTACATTTATTGCTACAACCTCGTGGGGCCAGAGAGTAGAAAGTGGTAGTCAGGATGTAATCGGCCCCCATAATCTCACAGGAAGTGGCACTATGAGGTGCTTTGTTGGAGTGTGTATGGCCTTGTTGGAGGAAGTGTCATTGTGGGAGCTGGCTTTGAGGTTTCCTATGCTCAGGATACTGTTGTGTCCGTTGACTTCCTGTTGCCTGCAAGATGTAGGACTCTTATAGCTACTCCAGCACATCTGCCTGTATGACACAATGCTCCCTGCTGTGATTCTGAACTGCTAAAAGTATAAACAAGCCACCCCAATTAAATGTTTTCTTTATAAGAGTTGCCATGGTCATGGTATCTCATCACAGCAATAAAAACAGTAACTATGGCAGATGGCTTTTGAGTGTCTTGGACACTGTGGGATCTTAGGCCTGGGTTTCAGCTCAGCACACACGTGCTACGGTAGTGCTGGAACCGTAGTAGTACTGCAGGGTCTGTCTCTCCTGGGAGAGCAACTCTAGGTCTGCATGACAGAAAGCAAGCGCTATGACTGGCTGGGAGTCACTTTGCAGGGTTCCTTCCCATTCCTGAGTTTGAGACTGCTGTTTAAAACGGCAGTAAATTCCTTTTCCAGGATAGCTTTGTAGCCAGCCTGGTACCTAGTGATATAAGTAGGCTTGGTGGCTTGGTATGGATGTTTTATTGCTACAACTATTAAAAGTTTTATTTCAGGTGTTAACCACAGCACATTTGCCAGACGATTCCCTCCTCCCATCCTGAGTCCCATCTGGCTTGGCATGTACCTTCACCTGCTCAGTCATCTTGCCAACATTTCTGGGCAGGGCCAGCATAGCCCTTAGATTCATTTTCCTATTGCTGAGGAAGTAGTAGCCACTAGCCTCTGCCCAGTATACTCAATAGCATATTCTCTGTTCTGGCTAGTTCTTTCCCAGCTTTAATGATCCCAGGGACAGACGTGGCAGGAAAGCTAAGGCCAAATGACCCTCTGGGTGGGCTGGGCTTGTACTCTGTGTAGTCTGTCTAGTGTGGGCTCTGCTCCAAGTGCTACAACCTAAGACTCAGTTCCCTTGCAAGCAGAGAAGCTACGGCTGCCATGAGCCTGAAGCCCTTGGGTCTCACTTAAGGACACTGTCTGGCAATCTGTGTGTCACAGCCAAGTGTCCACTGTAGCCTTTATCTGGAGGGCCTGTTGTCTGCTACATTCTCCAGGGCCTCACTGGTCTCCACACATGACCCCACCTTTACCATGAGATTGTCATTTGGGCTTACTTCCTCCATGGCCTTTCACTTTAGCCTATTTCTTCCTTGACATTTTTGGTCTGAGTCAACATGCTATTCACTAGGGGAGCTTAAATTTTTTCAGTCCTTACTTCACTTTTATTCACACTGACAGGTAACTCTGAGTTTCCAGGTAAAATTTTGTTATTCTCTTCCTAGGCACCTAGGCAAAGAAAGCAAACTGCACAGGCCAGACCAGCTCCCTGGTTGGTGGCGTACCCTCAGTCACTGCCTGGATGGTCAGGGGACTCAGCTTCTGGACAACCCCTGGGGCAACCGCCTCTGGCACACACTCCATACTCTTTTGTTCAACAGTGAAGTGCCGTACTATATATAACCTGCCCAGGTTATTGCAAATGGCCAAGATGAGGCTCCAGGTGCTCACTAGCAACTAGACGGACAGGGACACTTAAGGTCAAGTGGCATTCCCACCCTGTGTTTCCTGGTGGCTGGAGAAGTTGGGGGGTCCTCACAAGTGCCTATCTTCATGTAAGAGCTGCCAAAGCACTTATGGACAGATTGCCAAGAGGAAAGCTGAGACTTGACTGAAAAGACTTCAGGACATGAAGTTAACTATTTTGAAGCCAGGGTCCTCAATGGCTGTTTCCTATAAGGTTGGCACAGTGGACAGAGGCCCGATCACAAGACTCTGTATGCCAGGCATAGGAGGACTTACTTTGAAGGACAGGAGAAGCTGTGGGATTGCCAAGGGTGTTTTAGAACCTTTCCTTCAGGAGATTTAAAGAATGTGGGAAGACTGTTCCTGTACCCAATGTTTTCCCATGGCATGAACATCAGGGTTGTTCTTTTAGTCTACCAAGACAATACCATTTCCAGTCTGGCATGCCCACACCGAGGGCAACTGGAATCACTGGACCTTGCCAATGTCCCTAGTCCACCTAGAACTCTTTTACCAGTTCTCCCAGGGTCATGGCGCTATCTTTTTAGATACTAGTGTAAAGAAAGCTTCTGGAATGGGAGGTTGTTTACCACAGCTCTGCTGAACATGGGCCCTCAGTTCCCATAGTTCAGGAAGGGCATGGGTCTATTAGAAATGGGTTTTCTTCTCTAAAGAGAAATGTTTGCTAACACAAATGTCTGCTTTGATACCAAACCTCCCAATATCATGAATGACATGTGGGAAGTAGCTAGGAAGTACAACAAAGATGATAGAGGTGATTACAAACTCAGCATGGAGATCTCAACACACAGACAAGCCTGGACCTGCCAGAGCCCACTGCTTAGTGACGCAGCATGGACATACCTGATGTCAGTTACAGGTCACACCCTTGAGAACTAAGTCACCTTGGCTCCTCTCTTGTGCAGACACCTGGCTGGCACGTGCTCCTGTTTAAGGGTGTGCAAAGGCTCTGTTCACCCACAGCGCAGGCACTGCTGTCCCCAATGGTCCTGACAAGCTAAAAACCTAGGAAAATTTTTGGGGAAACTCTGGCTCAGGAAATGTGAGAGCAAGCGAGTCCAAAGCTCAGATCTGAGAGATTACGTCTTTATGCCACTCAGCGTATGCAAGCACGTTCTTAACAACGGCCTCCACCATGTGCTTGCAAACTAATTCTTCCAAGAAGCAGACAGGCAGTGTGGCCTCAGTGTGAGCCCCTGTGCTATCTAGTGTTTGACACAGGTCGTGGGAGGAGGTCACAGGCTTTATTCTTCAAATTCTTCTTTGGCAAAAGCATTCCTAGCAATGTGGTAACTAAGTACATCTAGAATAGTGGGACTGTAGTAATCTGGATCTTAGATGGGATGTTTGTAAGAGGTGAAGGTGAAAATCACCCTGGGACAGACTATGAAGAAGGGCCTACTAGAGACTGCGGCAGCTGGCTTCTAGCCTTCTATTGCTTTAAAATTTACCTCTTATTAATGTGTGTGAGCATGTACCCTCACACATGTGGAGGTCAGAGGACAACTCTGTGAAGTCACTTTTCACGTTTAAGTAGATTGCAGGGACCAAACTCTGGCCACCAGGCTTGTCCACAAGCACCTTTGCCACTGAACTGTCTTGCCAGCCATTAATGGTATTTTTACAATAAAAACCCTGCTGGGTTGTCAGCAAAAACCCTGATGTCAGGCTGGAGAGATGGCTCAGTGGTTAAGAGCAATAATGGCTGCTCTTCCAGAGCTCCTGAATTTAATTCCCGGAAAACTCATGGTGGTTCACAATTATCTATAATCTATAATGGGATCTGATTCCTTCTGGCAAGCAGGAGCCCATGCAGACAGAAAACTCAAAATACTTAAAATGAATTAAGTAAATAACTCTAAATATACAACAAACACCCTGTTTGTCTGTCCACAGGAATCTCAGTGATTTTTAAGAATTACTTAACTAGAAGTTATCTAGAACACGACCTTGTCAGACTTCACAGGGGAGGAAACACAATGGGTGGCTATGGGTTGCTGATAGCTTTCATCCAAGTGCCTTTACACGTGAGTGGAGTCCACACAAAACAGTGGAGCTCCTGGGAAGAAGTCCCACAGAGCTTCTCTACAGTACTGACTGCTCAGCAGGAACTACAGTGTATCTGTAAAGTTCTCAGTGCCTGAACAAGATGAAAAGTGAGGCCACCCACAACCAAAGACCCTACACCCTGGGATCTGCTCACACACTCCCTGGGAAACAGTGGGTAAAGAACCAAGATGAGCTGGGTATTGTGGTACATCAACCTAGAACTTAGAGGAAACTGAGGCAGAAGGCCAGTTTGGACCACACAAAATAAACAGAAAGCAGAGCAAGAGCAGGACTGGGAGGAAAAGAGGCACAGCGGTGTACAAGCCAAGACCTAGACCCTGCTTAATGGTTCCCCTGCCTCGGCTCCTTACAAAGACTGCAAAATGAAGTGACCTCCTGGGGTGAGGTGTTTAAGTAAGGAACAATCAGAGATGTAACTCACCCACAAGTGCTCCGTCCTCTGAGCTGTTGAGAACACACAACTTACACTTAAGTCTGAACAGCAGTGTCCAGAGCAGAGCCAAAGCCCGGAAGGCAGAGGATTGACAGCCACAGTGTATTCAAGTTGCCCAAGAGCTTCTCTTCCTTCCCCAGGCTAGACTACTCCTACCAGTTTTCCAGAGAGGTCTGGCCCTGCCTCTTAACAAGCTTGGAGATCACACTACCTAGGCAGAACTAAAATTACCAGCTTGCTGACGTCCCAAGGACTGTCAGAATGTTGCTTTGGCCACGGTGGGGGAGATTAACGAGCAATCTGGTGGTCAGGCACAAGCTACTGCTGAGACTTGAGGTGAAGGGTTCTGTGGGTTGGGGAGAGAACTATTTCTAATTGACTTCTTAACAGAATGAGACAGTACTGTCTACCTGGAAACATCATGTCACAAATAAAATGCTACTGTATAATGCCCTGAGGTTAGCACCATTCTCAGTGCAGCCCAGGAAGGCTGGTCTCCCACACTGGGCAGGCACACATGTGCCTGTCTGAATGACAGGGACTAGTGTCACTTCTTCCACTGAAGCATCCTTGCGAGGAAGTCCTATCTTTGATGCTAGGCACCTAGATATTCAGGCACCAAGAGTGCCGACAAATGTATGGTGGCACTAGAGCCTGGCTGCTGAGTGCCCGGTGACACCAGCCCTGGCAGAGGGTTCAGTCACAGCCTTCTCCCAGGCTTTTGGGAGAAGGATGCTGGAGCTCCTGGGCAAGTCCTGGATCACTGGGGTACTACCACTCACCTATCATGCCTGCCTCCTCTGTTCATCGCGGTATGTAACCTGCAAGATGAGGCTACCTCTTGTGGCTAACTGGCACAATTCCTAATGCCAAGTGGAAAGCAAAACTAACCTCACAAAGCACACCAAACAGGCAGGAAAACTGGCAGTTAAGTGTGAATGCTAGGCAGGCAGTGAATAAAACCAGACATGCATTTATTTTGCATTAGATTTCACTAGTTTAAATGCCTAAAGCTGAATAAATTCACTAGTCTCTCTACAGGACGGATCCTGAAGTCCTCTGCCCTGACTGAGGGTGGCATCTGCTGCTCCTACTGCCTAGTCTGCCAAGACTTATGAAACTCCCCTTTTAGGGCAAGAACCACTGGCAAGTCAGAAGACAATCACAGTGCAGTCTTGGAAACACAGACTGAGCTGATTCCCCAGGCATTTCCTTCTGCTGGACAGCAAAGACAGAGCAGTTAAGGAAGCCCTGGCTCATGCTATGACAACTGCAAAATCAGCCACTACCCTTGCTTAGGAAACCCAGCCTACTGTGTCTGGGTAGCATGTGGGGGAAGCCTCCCTGCCTTTGGTTTTGATCATTCAGGTCTAGGCTCTAAGTCTCCAAAGCATCCTTGTCACGTGTGGACCTGAAAGAAGAGCTGATGACTAGGAGCCAGACTCCTGCTGCATCTGGGGACACTGAGTAGTGTGCCTTTCAGGGTATCTTTGTATTTCTCTTCAAGAGTTGCTTGACCCAATTTTTGTGTCTGCTCTGTACAATGAAAATACAAACTAAATGAGAATAGAAAAAATAATTAAAGCATCAAATTGTACAAATTACAAATCTGTTCCAAAATATACTTACATTAAATAAAATACGCATTTCAGTAAGATCTACAGTGAATGACTATGCATTCTGGGAAGCTTCACATCTAGGCAGGGCCAACATTCGTGGAAGAAGCTAAGAGAATGTGCATCCAATCACAGTTTATAGCGGGTTTCTTATTGCCAATCTGCCAGTCACACCGAACATGTCATTACATCACTTGTGCAGGACACCGATTTTGTTGGGGGGAAGGGAAGCAAGCGCTATCCTCAATGGTGAGTTCATTAAAACTTCGGAGGAATCCCACAGCCTAGACAGTGGAGTTTCAGTAAACATTTTAAGGGAAGCAGACAATGCTCTCGAGGTCCAGACATATTTTCTTGCTGTATTGTGTAGTCAGGAGGATGGTCTTCTTCAGGACAACATGGTCGCAAGACTGGGACAATCCCAAGGGGCTGACAGGGAGTATGAGGATGGGGAGGAGGGCTACCTCGAGCTGTTTCACATCAGAGACAACTGTGACAGTCCTCAGACCTGCAATCTCTCCTCTTATCATCTGGCATAGCGTTTGATGTATTCATCCACTTTGTCCCGGAAATCCTCCTGTAGAGGGAGAGGGCACAGCAGAGAGGGGTGAGAGAACAAAGTGACACTTCATGAACAAAGCAAGTCTCCCCCAAAGTGAAGAACCCTGTGGAGAAGCCTGGCTTCATGTCACCAACGGTGCCATCTCTCCATGTGTGCGGGAGACAGTGCAGTGTGGGGGAGGGGCTCAGCACAGGCCAGAGCAGTGGGATCCTAACAGCACCTCATCCCACACCCTCACCTGTGCCCATGGGAACATCCAGTCCGGGAAAGCGTGTTCATCCTCCCAATGCTAGCATTCTTCTGCAAGCAGTATGAGCCACCCAGCTGCTCTTCTGCTAGGAGGCCCTGCTGGTCAGGGGCTGCAATCTATCATGGCCTGGCAGCTCCCTCTGAGCTCAGCAACATTCCCTCCTCCTGGCAGAAGGCGCCCTATCCTATTCTCTACTTGACCTTATTTGGAGACTGTCTCTAGGCCTGGATACAGTCCTTGTAGAAGCTTTCACAGACGATAACTAAGACTTGTAGTAGGAGCTCTAGAATCGGAGTGTGCTTTTTAATGTAAATTAGGTGACTCCCCCAGCTACCATACCCAACCCTATGCATCTCCTATACTCTGGAATAAAGCTGAGCTGACCCACTGAAGTTATCTCTCAGAGGGCTATCTTCATTGTACTTACAAGCTGGACAAGGCCCTGCTTGCCACTTCTGCCCCTTTTGGCCCCATGGCCCAGTTAGGACCATGGCGGAGGAGGGGACCCAAACTCTTAAGATATACCTTTGCTTTTAGATCAATCTTCCCAGGACCTTGCTGTCCAATAAATTTGTGTTTACCTTCATAGCCCCACCCTCCCTTGAGAAAAGGAAAGTGGGCCACAGAGCTTACCAATCTCTCATGTCAAGAACAATGGTCATTGGGCTCCCTGGATGACAAAACACAGCAGAGACCCTAGGACTTAGGTCAGTCTGAGTGAGAAAGCCTTCCTTCTGAGATCTGGGCCATTGCCCTGTGTTTCCCCACTCTGTTCTCTAAGAGGTTAGGAGCCAAATCTCGTGGGACTGAAGCTCTCAATCAGCTTACTCTAACAATTCAGGTATAGGCCACCGCTGTCCCAACTGCACAGCTATAAGCTCTTGTTTCCCAAATAAGTCTGGAAGCATGGAGAGTTGCCCTGAGGGCCTGCTATGCTCTTTTAAATGTGTGCCTCTCTGCCTTGGGGTCCCACCTGGCCAGCTCTGTCAGGCCTTCCTGCTACATGCTGAACTGGCAAAGTCATTCTTTCAAGGCCAGACATGTTCTCAGTTTGAACACTATGGGAAAGTCAGGGACTTGCCCCCAGTCTAAGTGGTGATTTGACTCTAGGTGACTCTGCTACTGTCTCCTCACACCTGTGCACATGGCTGTGTGCACATTTCCCACACCGACCATTCACTTGAGATACAGGAGTTTGGGGAGGGCTGTGCAGAAACTCCAAGATGTCTTTCAGATCCCTTCTAATTTCCAGAGCTGAGCAATACTGGAGTTCACCAGAAATCACCTTAGAACGTGGATGGAGTCCATCCTACCCATCTTTAACGCAGGACAAAAGACTTCTCTTCCATCTTGGCTCCTTCTGTTCTGTACATTTTAGGGCAAATCCAGTGCCAGACCCACATGAGGGGGTCTGCAGTTTCTGCTGCCTCTAACTTCCTCTTTCATTTTTAAGAACACAAGATTTTAGGATAAAGACCACAGATGCTGGAGCCTAAGAGTGTAGTCCCACTGACTAAAGTGGGTATAACCAACTGCAGGAGGTAATAAAATGAGGATGTACATTAAATAGCCATACTGGACACCAAAGGATCCGAGAGCTTTCCTAAGCCAGGTGTGGCAGCATGTGCCTAGAGTCTTTGCTAGTTTTGAAGTAGAGGCAGGAGGACATCTTCAGCTCAGGACTTAAGGGCATCCTGGCAAGACCTCATTTTTAATAGAAGGAAATGGGGATTTAGGAATGTTTGGCTAGAAGGTCCAGGTTCAGCCCCTAGCATTGCAGAATGAATGAATGAACAAATAAATCTCAGCCGTGTGTGGTGGTGCACGCCTTTGATCCCAATGCCCAGGAGGCACCGGCAGTGAATCTGAGTGTGAAGCCAGTCTGGTTTACATACAGCGTTCTAGGGCAGCCAGGGCTACATATCAAGACCCTATCTCAAATAATTAAGCAAATTAAGCAGATAAGTAACAGGGAGAGCCTCTTAGCTGCTTACTGGGGCCAAATACCTTCAGCCACCTCAGCCCAGGTCACACTAGATGCTTTTCTACATTCCTGCTCAGGACACATGGGACTGCTTTTGTTCCTCAGTAGGAATCCCTTGAGCAGTCAGTCATTCCAGGTGCCTTTCCCTAACGGTGCTCTGTCCCTTGTCTTCCTTAAGGCTCTGATGCTCCTATTCATGGACCAACACACAGGCCTCACAGTGCAGCCACAAGTGCAGTGATGGCAACTCTATCAGCTTGGTACACTTACGCTGGCTTTTTCGGGGAGCTTGATTAATAGGCTTGTTTAGTTATCAGAAGTACTTCACACCCATCTGAAGTAGGCAAGACAGAAACAATGTTTGATGGACAAAACAAAGCTCTGTCCCTGCATGTGCAAACAACTAGTCAGACCCTCAGCAGGCACAACAGAAAAAAAATTTTTTAAATGCAAACATTCTTCTATGTAGCTCAAATATAAAAGCAAACTATTCAGAGGTGCAAAGCAAACACCTGCCACACTTGATTTACCAAAACGATTACAAAGCAGGGCGGCAGCAGTAGCCTTCCCAGGTGATGTGCAGCAAAGTACACCAACCTATCTAGGCATGGACTTGTGCTCTGGTGAGCATCAAAGAAAAACAACCAGCCCAATATCCAAATTAAGGACACATGATATTTTTGATCCAGTGATCTGGCTACAGGACTAAACCAAATACCAGTATATTTAAGGATGTAGTATGTTTGCTGACTTGCTGCTCACAGCAAGGCAACATCCGGTGGGGAAAAAATTCCTAGGAAGGAACTTTTGATTTAATCAGAAGGAAAGAAAAGAATAAGTGTAAGGACGACCGTCCATATTTTGGGTAAAAGCAAACATACATGATCTCAATAAAGGGTGTGGAAAAAGGCAGGCTGCCTGATGTGACCCATCCTTCTTTCCATGTCCCTCAGCCATTGTGGTAAGGTTTTTTGCTGTTATGTAGTGCTAGGCTTTACCACTAGTTATACCCCAACTCTACTTTAGTGCTAATGAGGTAATGTGCCTATTATATTACTCACACTGAAATTTTACTACTATTTAACCTATAATAAAAGCCACTTTCACTCTGAGCAAACCACCCATTTACTGTAGCATAAATAAACAGCTTTAAATGGCTGCCCCATACCTACCATTTATGTCCTCACCCAACTGAGAAACTCCTTTTACCTAATGTTTCTATCTAGAAGCAGCCCGTTTGCCAGCTTACCTTGTCTCGTAAATGATGTTCAGCAGCTTCAATATTCAGTGGATCATCAAAATTCAAAAGATCCTTAAAAAGAAAGCAACTAAAGTGAGTGTGGGGAAGAATCTGCTTTCCCACTAGAGCAACCTTTCACTTTACAGAGAGCCTCGGGGAATCAGGGACAGGCGTAGCAACCTAGAAAGCACCCCAAGCTCTCGAAATCCCTCGCTGCAGAGTGCCAAGCATGCAGGTGGCGGTCAAAACGGTGTTGAGTTGAGCAAAAAGTCAAGGGTATGTTTATATATAACTATCCCCACTCCGAGGAACTAGAGAAGATAGCAACCACATTATTTGTTGCTTTCTGATAACTGGTGAAGTTATCTTAAAAAACAAAACAAAACAAAACAAAAAAAACCTATTTCTTAGCAAATTTTATGTGTTTTGTCTGCATATATGAAGGTATTTCATGTGGTGTGTGTGTATACTTGTTAGAAGCCAGAGGAAGGTACTGGATTCCCTGGAACTAGTTATAGGAAGTTGTGAGCTGCCATGCAGGTGTTAGAAATAGAACCCGGATCTTCTAGAAGAGTAACCAATACTTTAAGCCACCAAATCATCTCTCCGGCCTTGAATAACCATTCTTACAATGAGGGTCTTCAAAGAGAAATGACATGCGGGAAATAGATAGGTCTGAGGCCAGGTGTCACTCCTTAGGAGCTTTCCACCTTGCCTTTTTGAGATAGGGTTTCTTACTGGGACCTGGAACTCACTAAGTAGGCTAACATGTCTGGCCAGCAAGCTCCAGCAATCCTCCCAGCTCCCTACATCCAGCGCTGTGATTACGAGCACAGACTACTATGCCCGACTTTTTTACATCAGTTCTAACTGAACTCAGGTCCTCATGCATGTACAGCAAGCATACGCTATCTCTGTTTCAGCTATCGCTCCAGCCCCACTGTTTACCTTCTTGCAGCACTTTAAAAAAGTATTTATTATTATCATGTGTGTACACACACATGTACACATGGTTAAAGGGTAACTTTTGGGAAACAGTGGGCTCTGGGGATTTAACTCAGATCATCAGGCTAGGGCCTCTATCTGCTAAGCATCTCACTGGCTCTTCATTTCTTTCTTTTCTTTGAGACAGGGTCTCTGTAGCTCTGGCGAGCCTCAATTCACTATATAGATCAGGCTGGCCTCAAACTCAGAGATCCATCTGCTGCTGTATCCCAAGTGCTGGAACCAACACCACCACACCAGCTCTAGTTCTTCCTCTGCAGGAACATCACCTACAGTACAGTGTTCCTAACTAGGAAAAAAATATAGCTGTGAATATGAAAATATCAAGTGGGGTATGTGGTACATGTTAATTCCATGAAACAGGAAGTTGAGGAAGGAGGGTTTGGTGATGGGAGATGTCATTCTGTAAATATGCTTCTCGTATTGGTTAATGAAAAAAGCACTGTTGGCCAATAGGAAATCAAGACAGGTGAGACTAGGAGACTAGGAGGAGAGAGGAAGGAGTAGGGAGGACACTCAAGATGTAAGATGGGGAAGGCAGAACGCCGGCCCTTCTCTCCAGTAAGATAAGACCATGTGGAAATACTTAGATTAATAGAAATGAATTAATATTTAACACAGAGCTAGCCAATAAGAAATGCTAGTAACAGGCCAGCAGAATTATGTATCTAATACAGTGTCTCTGTATGTTAATGGGGGCTGGCGCGGCTCTGGGACCAGGCCAGTGGAAAAAACATACTCATAACATGTTCATGGCTTGCCTGAATGACATATTAGGTCAAAGCCTACAGAGTGAGATCTCATCCCAAAACAAAAAGATTGTGCTAGTCATCACACTCACACACACACACACACACACACACACACACACACCCCACGTTTGGAGACTGGGCAGACAAGATGCACTCAAGAAAAGCTGTCAGGGTTGAGGAAAGTGACAGGAGGAGGCCTGGCTAGATGCTGTCCTCACTGGCTCACAGTCAAACTGAAAAGGACCAACAGACAGTAAAGCCTGGGGTGGGGGCGGGGGGGGGGGGGGAAGCACTGGCTGCTCTTCCAGAGGACCCACATGGTGGCTCCCAACCAGCTGCAAATTCAGTCCCACAAGATTCAACATCCTTTTCTGGCCTCTGTGGACACATGACACATATGCAGTGCACAGACACAGATACAGGCAAAATTCCCAAACACATAAAGATTAATAAATCCTTTTAAAAGGCAGTGAACTCCAACTGCTGGCAAAATTTTTAATTAGGCTCTGGGGTTACACTTTGTTATGTCACCAAAGAAGCCAGAACCCACCATCAAAATGATTGAGCATGCTGGAAAAACTATCCAAGTGGTAGAATCCAGGCCTGGTCCAAAGGTAGTGTGATGGGAGATGTCATTCTGTATATGTTTCTCATACTGGTTAATAATAAAGCACTGTTGGCCAATAGGAAAGGAAGGTAGGAGGGACTAGGAGACAAGGAGGAAATAGGAAGTAGTAAGGAGGAGTCAAGATGGAGAGTCTGGAGAAAGCAGTATGCTGCCGGCTCCCCCGGTAAGAGAAATACATAGATCAACAGAAATGGGTTAATAATTAAGACAGAGCTAGCCGATAAGAAACAAGTAACCGGGCCAACAGTATTGTATCAAATACAGAGTCTCTGTGTATTATTTGGGGCTAGTGGCACAGCAGCAGGACAAGACCGGGCGGCGGCAGGCAGAAAAACCAAATTCGTTACAAATGGCGCCCACGTGGCTAGTAAGAACTTCCACTTAAAATTTAACAAAAGCTTAAAAAAGGGTTTTATAAACAAAAGAACAGAGACAATCAAGGTTTCTTGGTAGCAGCATTTTTCTCGGTTAAACTCTGCTTTGCGAGAGACAAGCAGATATTCGCACGACTCCTTTAAGGGAAAGTTCCTGACTCATCATAAGGGACAAAAAACCACACATCTTTTAAGAAACTCTGCTAACAATTTATTGGTGTGTATGAGAGATGGCAATGGCAGTGACCACATCTCCAAGCCGGCAGTATGCAGACCAAGGCAGTGAGCGCAGCTTTCAGTGCTGGCGGTAAAATAGCAGCCGCCAACTTTTATAAACCGCGGCAGAAACAACAAAGACTTTCATTTTAATAATGTTGTTGTTTAACAGATAAAGACTTGAGGCCAGACGAAGATAAAGACTTACAGTAAAGACAGATTCATATTAAGAAAAACCTCTAAAGGTTTACAGTGTGTTTTAAAATATACGTAGACATGAAAAAAAATGGTTTTAAAGAGACAAAGAGGAACTGGGTGTTGTAGCACACGCCTTTAATCCCAGCACTCAGGAGACAGAGGCAAGCAGATCTGTGTGATTTGCAGAGTAAACCTGGTATGCAGAGTGAATTCCAGGACAGATAAGAGTTACACAGAGAAACCCTGTCTCAAAAAATAAAAAGTAAAAGAAACAGAGTAATGATAAAGCCACATAAAGATGAAAAGCTCAGAGAGAATCTGGTTACTGTATGCTATTATGTTGTCTCTGCATTGTTTGACTGCTGAGAAAATAACAACTGATAAAGGAAATGCTGCTGGATTAATTCAATTTATATATTTTAAAAATGCTTTGACTCCAACATTTAAGTTCAAGGACAAGTTACTGGGGAAAAGGATTTCTATTTTTGTTTCCACAGAAAATAAAAAGCTGTGGATTCCTTCCAGACTAATGTGGTTTGAGCAAGCCAGGCCCCCTGAAACAGAGTCGTTGGTGATCCAACATTCAAAACAGCTTGGACAAAGCAGCCTCGCAGACTACAGCCAAGATTTCTGCAACTTCTTAGGATCCACATGACAGCGCCCCCTATCAGCAGGAAGTAGTTTGGAAAGAACGACGCCCAAATTCCCAAATATTGTTTATAAATGTTTGTTTTCATTTAAATGGACTTGGTTATAAATGGTTAATGATCATAGCCAATTCTTTTTAAAGGTAAAAAGGGAATTATGGTATAGATATGGATACTTTGTATTGGAATGGATTTTCATTTATTGATACAATTTAATGTCAATTTTGTGAGATGTGTATTTCTCCTCTTGTTTAGGTATTGTGTTTATATAGAATGTATAATGTAGTACAGATTATAGATAATTACCTATGATAGTCAAAGCTTAGAGTTAAGTTAGTTAGGTTTTTCAAGATACACAGAGATGTATTTGAGATAGATAGGAATTCTTCAAACCTTTCAAAGACCTACAGAATATGGCATTTAAAGTGGTTTAGGGTTTTTGTGACAGTGAGACATAATTGCTCTTGGCAATACCACCTGCACCATAAAGGAAGATGGACATCGAAGAAATGCATTATGAAGTTTGCTTCCAATATGGCAAGACTAGCCATTTGGACAAGATACTGCTCTTGTCTGGACTGTTTGACTTGTGATGTATAAACTGGACATGCAGGACCCACAGGAAAGTGACTTCTGATTCAAGATGGACATTGCTACAGAGTTCCTGCTTCATGGAAGAGTCTGTGAGACAGTATGCAGGACACAAAGAAAAGTGACTGTCAAACTGCCAATACAAAAAGACAGTTTAAAGTTTCCTGCTTTGCTGAAGAGTCAGCTAGACACACTATGGCCTATGGGCTGAAGATGGAAGATTACAAAAGAACTTCGGGTGACGATGCAGTGAGTTGTCTCTGTCATTTCTAGAGTTTATATACTATCCTTCTGTGGTCTTTGATGGAGTTGAAGACAGATAGTTATGGTTATAGTTTTCCTTAGTTAAGCTTAAAGATAAATTACATATAGGACTTTAACTCACAAAGATAAAATAGATGATGGAATATTTTCTTCAAATCTTGCTAAATGTTAATGGACTAAATATTGTTAACTGTGATTCTTATTGGATAAGTGTTATGTTATATATTTTGCTATGTTAAGGTTAAAACCCTTCTTTTTAGACAGAAAAGAGGAGATGATGGGAGATGTCATTCTGTATATGTTTCTCATACTGGTTAATAATAAAGCACTGTTGGCCAATAGGAAAGGAAGGTAGGAGGGACTAGGAGACAAGGAGGAAATAGGAAGTAGTAAGGAAGAGTCAAGATGGAGAGTCTGGAGAAAGCAGTATGCTGCCGGCTCCCCGGTAAGAGAAATACATAGATCATCAGAAATGGGTTAATAATTAAGGCAGAGCTAGCCGATAAGAAACAAGTAACAGGGCCAACAGCATTGTATCAAATACAGAGTCTCTGTGCATTATTTGGGGCTGGTGCGGCAGCAGGACAAGACCAGCGGCGGCAGGCGGAAAAACCGTACTCGTTACAGTAGTGTCTTCACTGGGGGACAGGGAGAACCTGAACCTGCACATGCTGGCTTCTCTGTGGGTGGGTGCTGCTCAGAGACACTGCAACACTGGGCAGGGACTCACAGGAGTGGAAGTTCTGCTACTTGTCCTTTTGTTGATGACTGAAAACAAGCATGTTGTGCCACAGATGGCAGGAAGAAAAGCAGATATGCTCTAGAAGGCAGGAAACCTACAAATATGTCACTCAGAAGCTCCTAAGTTTCTGTGTCATGGTGTGAAATCTGGTCATAAAATGGAAAGGAAGGGTAGGTTCTAAGACCCCATGCTTTTTCAGCGTGTGTTTCAAACCAACAGCCAGAAAAACAAGAAAAGGGAGGGGTGACTAATAATATACTTACAGTAAATAATGAGTTTAACCCCCAAACAACATCCTGAAAGAAGAAAGAAAACAACTCTCAGACTCTTATCCACTAAGTCTTTTAAATATGTACCACACCCTATTAAAATACACATCATGGCGCTTTTCTCAAGACGGAAAACAGGAACCCTTTCAAGTCTTACCACTGACCACCTTTATAACTGCCTTCCATGCTCGGAAAGATGCAGGGAACATGAGCCATGGGCTGAACCTGCAGCCACGCTCTACCGCCTCTTGTTACAGACCAGACTTCTGAAATTTACCTTTACAACAAAGCCTGCAGCTTTGTAAAATTCCTGCCTCTTGGAGTTTGGTGATAAATGACTCCACTACATCTTCTTAATCTTCTCTAGTTACTTCAAGAATTAAGGGAGACTCACACTTCCAAGATCAATAATTCCCTCTACAGTAACACTAAAAAACCCACTGTTTATCAGCATTCACAGAGCTGATCTTCAGATGGGAGTCATGGCAACCACAGACTCAACTCTAAAGTCTTGTTCTTTTAAGCTGATTCTCAGAGATACCCCATAGTACCTGATAGTGACAATTTTATTTACTGTTCCCTGCTTTCTCCCACCCATATGTCTTGGCACATCTGACCTTCTGCTGTGAGTTGGCTAGTGACTGGCACTGGAGCTGAAGATAAGTAGTAATCCTCTAAGGGGCTAGACATTTGAGCTGACAGCAGACTATTGCCCCAAGCAGTAGAGACACTACAGAGGAAATGGCAGCCATCCCAGAGCCTTGCAGAAGGAGCAGATGTCATGAGTGGAGGGCTGGAGGAGACTACCTCTAGGTAATGGGACATTTGGCAGAGCTAAATCCAGAAGACAGGACATGGAGAAAGACTGGGTGGTCCATGTGTCAGACCACAGTTGAGGAGGAAAAGGGTATATAACCATTAACAATTCTGACATGGATCCAGGTCAAACTTTTTTCCTGTACTTTTCTCCTCTGTGGAGGATATTCAGTAAGAATCTATCCATCACTTCACAATCTTTCTGACTCAGGAAGTAACCTTCTCACTTTAAATGAGACACCCAGATACCCAGAAAGGCTCAAGATAGCCCCCACTGAATGAACAAGAGAATGCTGTCTCTTGTGGTTCTGAAACCTACAGTTTGGCACTTTGAATGGAATGGTGCTGGTCAACAAGGACCCTGATCCAATTAGGACTGGCTAAAGCAATACTTGGTGGAGCAGACCTAGAAGGTGTGTGGTTGGGAGTGGAGGGAATAAGGGCACATTTCTTACAGGAGGGTTTGGGTGCCTGAGGACTACACAAGAAATGCTGACTCTCACCTTCAATGTCCTAGTGGGAGCCCAGCCAGTGCCATCAATCGAATGTTCTCTTAGTAAACTGAAAGAGAGAAACAGATGTTAATGAGGAGCCGAGTTATTTACCATAGAGGAAGGAATGAATTGCCATAAAGATATGAAACCTATCTCTTCTCAGCTGTTCAGTCTTCTGCCCTACTGAGAACAGCATTCACCTCCAAAGTTGTGTTTCAGTTACAATGTTTCCTGTTTTTCTATCGACTGTGTCTAGGCAAAGAAAAGGCTCTGTCTGTCTGTCTGTCTGTCTGTGTGTGTGTGTGTGTGTGTGTGTGTGTGTGTGTGTCAGTTCTCCTGTCTCTGCCATCTGAGTTCTTGAGTTACAGGCATGTGCCATTAAACCCATCAAAAAAGCATTATTAACATTAACACACACACACACACACACACACACAGTTGTTTAGTAGGCAGCAACAGTGAGAGCAACAAAAATGACAGAGGGCTAGTCTTTTATTTAGCTGTCAGGCATAATTCAAAACTGAATTCCTCCAACAAGGAACACTCTCCAATGCTAAGGCTGTCTTTCTTCTCTCCCACACACCCCAGTCTGGAAATAGCAAGCCACAACCTCAAGGTGGTCCTGCATGTTTGCTGGTGGTCAGTGAAGCTGAGCACCTCACAGAGTGATGAATGGAGACCTCCTGTACTTTGAGCCCTTTGTCCACTGTCAGTGTTTTCAAAATGAATACTTACACACAATAATAGTAAGTAGTTCAGGGATCCTCTTTCAATTCTGTGTTTATAGTTTATTATTGTTGTTGGTATATTTGTTTTTGTTTTGAGACTGAGTCTCACTATGAAGCCCTGGCTGGCCTGGAACTCAGAGATTCAAAAGGCATATACCACCATATCTGACAGTATTTTTAAAGCTTCTGCATGGGTTGATGACACTGACTGCATTTCTCAGACAAAAAAAAAAAAAAAGACCAGACGGGCATCCAGGTACAGCTTGTCTTCCTTACCCAGTGGTTAATGCTTACTGAGGAGAATGGAGAAACACAGAGGCATGCTAAGAATAGTCTCAGGTCCCAACACTTTACAACTAACATGAGAAGCCTGCTTCACAAGGTGGCTGAGCATGAGTTTGTGCCTTGACAGCCCCCCCCCCAAGTCCTCCTGTTAGGGAGGATCTGCATCAACTGCAGTTGGTCTAGATAATACTGTAGTACAAATTCTAATAGGCCTTAATAATGAACACCTAGAGTCAGACATTAAAGGTGGGAAAGCTGAAAGATCAGAGAAGCAAAGCAGCCAGCCACTAGCTCTTTTCCTCTACCTCAGATCAAAGGGGTGATACTGTCCTCAGACTGCCTAGCCTGCAACAAGCTCCTGTCTCCTCCGGCTTTATAGTCCTCTCCCCATTCAACCATATGCCTTCCTGTCTCATCTCCTTAGTGCTGGGATCACCTTTGTATGAGCTGTTTCTCTTTTAGACTGGATCAATTACTTGTCACTCAGGGTGACCTTGAATTAAAAGAGCCTCTGTCTCCTGAGTCCTGGGACCAATGGTTTGTGCCACCACTGCCTGCCTCTATGGCTAATTAGTGTAGCTAGCTTTGCACTCTGATCTTCAGGCAAGTTTTATTTGTTAGATCATAAACAAAACACCATCATACCAGACGGCCACCATTAACGCCCTGGAGTACTAGAAAAAGGGTCCAAATAGGTAAAAACAAAACAAAACAAAAAGCTGAAATGCCCGGTCCACTATGAAAAGAAGTTCTCCTTTATATCCTCCAGTTCTTTTCCTCAGAGACCAGTGACCTTCCAGGGCAGTGGGGACTGCTGGCCCTTGACCTTGTGCCTCTGTGAGAGTAGGACATAGTCTACTGCTGAAGAGACACAGGGAAGCTACCTACTCTGAAAGGGCCATTCTGGAAAGTATCCTCAGTGCAAGTGTCTGAGATCACTGAGGTCAGGCTCCTGCAGACTCTTACCCTACCACTACCCTTGTTATTAACATTAGCCATAAACTGGGACTGTTGTTCACTAAAGGAGGTGGAAACAAAGACCACCACACTGCACAGTGAGGACTGGCAATAGAAAGGAGCCATTCAGCCTGGCCCAGGCATTTCTTTACTGTTACCAAGAGATTCCCTTACAGGAATGAATCTCTGTACACACATGTACAGAGGGAGGAAGAGACTTACCTTAGACATATTTCCCCTGTTTCTGTGATGTTGGGGTGCCAGATTTTAGTCAAGCATTTCACCTTGGGAGGCTGCAACACAGAGAGAGGTCACAAATCTCCCCAGTCCACACCTGCACCGTGTCTGTAAGTGCATGTGCACACACACCCCACCTCTTGGTCTCAAACTCCAACCAGGAACCTAACTTGCTATGCCTAAGTCACAGACCCACACCCACCATTACTGCTCCAGACAGAACAAACCACCTTTTCAGTCAGGTGTGCTTGTAGATATTGGTGCTACAATTCCCTAGACCAGGGTTGGTCTATTTTGTCCTTTATTTATATTTCTATGTGTACATGAATATATATGAACATTTGAGTGTAAGTGTGGTATAATTCAGAGCTGGAGTTACTGACAATATGTGTTCTCATTCAACAACTTTAACCACAGTTCCAGACAGCCCACTGCACCTAATCCCTGGCTCTGAACCAAACAGGGTGGCTCAGAGGCTAACTGCCCCCACCCCCACTTTCCAAAGGTGGTGATAAATCTACTTTTTACCATTTACCCATCTGTCTAGCTACTTACCATTTTTATCACTTAACTTTCTATACATCACCTTACTTCCCCACTGAACTATCCTCAAAAGTGAAAGCTATGTGTGTTACAACCTTTGGTATAATTATGTAATATGGCCTTTTTGTTGTTGTTGAACTTTTTTTTGGGGGGGGCGGGGTTAGAGACAAGGCCTGACCTATCAGAGATCTGTCTGCCTTTCTCTGCCTTTTCAGTGCTGGGGTTAAAGGTGTGTGCCACCACTATCCAGCTTGTAATATGATCTCTGAGGGACTAATATGTAGCTATAGGTTATTAATTACCTGAAATTCTAAAAGTATTTGCCTCTGGAGTTTTGGTATTACACCAAAATAAAATCAGTCTAAAAACTTGTGTGCTCACTCCCCCATTTAAAAAATTTACATGAAACACACAGGCAGCACACCTGCACAAAATATACCTGTTGGACAAATGAGCTCCTGTACTGAAACTCTCATTGCTGCTAATCCACAATAGAAACACAAACGTTGTTTGTGTTGGCTGAAAGCATGGCTGCCAAGCCAGTGTCCCCCATGTCTCCATGCCGTGTCCCTGGTTATGTGTGGGGGAGGGTTTAGGCACATGCTACTCACCACCATGTTGTAGGCATCAGGAACTTCAGTTTCAAACTGAAATTTTCCACCCTGGTAGTAACCCTCATCTATTAAAAACACAAAACAAAACAAAAAAATCTTTAAATAAAAAAAAGAAAAAAGGAAACAAAAGCAAACACGAAGTTAGGATATGGCAAGCACAGAATGGAGAGGTTAAAAATAGGACCGCAGAGTCCCCAGGCTCCTTCAGCAACGCACACTGCACAGCTTGTCTTGTCCCAGCACTGCCTCCATCACTACCTGCTCCACGGGTGCCCTTAGAGGAAGGACAGGGCATCCTTCAGGAAGACTGGCTCTTTCTGCAGGGCACTACAGTTAGTGTGACCCTCTTAACCCATCTCCTGCCCGTGTAGTTCCCTCTTCACTGGCCAGTTCCCAGATTCTCTATGAGGATGCCATTTCCACGGGGAGGCTGATGAGATCTGACTGCTGCTTTCCCAGCAACTGTGCACAACTTTCAATCACTCAGCACCCATTCCCTGCTAGTGGGCTCAGGACTCGGCACAGCAGGGACTGGAGTTATAACCACTGCTTTAGAGAGTGCTTGGTGAGGCTTCCAGAAAAGAACAGGCCCTTAGAAAATGGGTGCCAGGAGGGATGTCTATAGATACCACAATACACAGTCCCTCTTGCCTATTTGGACTCAACCCAGCTTTAAGAAGGGGCTGCTGCCAGCAGAGGGTGCTGCAACCTCTCCATCTAACTGGTGTGACTAGCACTGCCCTCATCTTGCAGTTGCAACACTAAGGTCAATTGTTTCATTTATTTGTTTGTTTTTACATAAAATAGACAAGTAATCAGCATCAATGTCACTAAAAGCAGACTTCTTTTAAGAACTTTGAGACTGTAGGCTAGTGCTCAACAAGCAAAAGTGCTTGCTACCAAAACTTGAAGACCTGAGTTCAATCGCCAGGACCAACAAGATAGAGAGAACCAAGTCCTACAAGCTGTCCTCTGACCTCCTCCCAAGAACCATGGCACATGTACACACAAAACTAAACTAAACAAGCAAACAAACAAAAAGCCAACTTTGAGGCCAGCACTATGTTATCCAACAGTTAAAACTAGATCTTAGCATTCATACTATGGCACTCTTTGTCCTTTATTTCACAGTCCTTGTTATATGTTAGCATGGCTGAAACAGCTTGGATTACTGGTTCTTTCTACTTCTTCCCAAAGAATGGGTGTCCAGTTCTTGATAGAAAGAGGACTATTTTGGGGCCACTGATGTAAAAACGCTCCTAGATTTGCCTTTGTTAATATTTTAGTTAATGTGCATGTTTGTGTGGGTACCCACAGAAGGTCTTAAGAACTGAAGTTACATGCAGTATGTATAAGGATTCAGATATTAAGCTGACCCTGGCACTTGGCAAGGTACACTCACCAGCATTCAGGCAGATACTTAAGACAGCTCAAAGGGCCCTCTGCTGTGGCTGCCTCATGCATTAAGTGGCTTCATAAGGACTTTGTAATCATATGCAAACTTTCCCTTTTAAGCGAGGGCCTCCCACCTGTTTGCTCCTTCTATCCCTGTTCCACATTGGCCAACACCTACCCCTTCCCTCCCTTTTAACTCCTTCCCTTCCCAATTAACTCCATGTGGGTTTGTTGAGTTTTGCGATTTGTGTTTCACTGCTCACAGCTGCAGTTTAAAAAAAAAAAAGTATGAACCCAAAGTAGCAGTGCATGACCCTCGAGAAGAGAAGCAAGAACTCTGCACCACCCAACTGTTGATCCCTTTGCTATGTGTATGTGTGTGTGCACACATGTGTATTAAGAGAGGGTTTCTGTATATAGCCATGGCTGTGCTAAACTCACTCTGCAGACCACACTGTCCTCAAACTCACAACTTGGCCACCACACCTGGCTAGGTTTCCATTTCTAAGATGTTCTACTTCATGGATTCAGTCTCTGGCGTGGTGATTTTAAAATGTTTTTCACAACCAAACTTATCGAATGCCTTAGTAACAATCAAGTTCAGTCAATTGGCTGCTTAACTAATCTCTTTCCTGTCTGATACATTAATGTGATGTAATTTTCAGAGTTTAAAACAGCCTAGGAGATAGTAAGGCCCAGCTTTAGGAGTGTCTGTAATCCTTTCCAGAAACAAATGATGAGGACTCAGACCTAAAGACTCATTCATTTCGGGGAGGGACTAGGAAGCGGGATCTGGCTGGAGTAGAGACACTATGCGTGAGACTTTGGTGTTGCTTTTTGCCCTGACCTTTTCCTGCACTGCTCTTTTTCCTGTTTGACATGATGTGAGATCTGCCGTGCCCTCCCTACTTAATGGACTGCTAAAATGGTGAGCAAACTAAAGCATTCCTCTTTTTAAACATGTCTCTGTTAGGTCATTTACCTTTTATAAATATACCTGGATTTGTGAATAGTAACAAAAGTCTTGGGAAGACAATTATTGCTAAATTTAGCTCCAAATACAAGGACTTTTCATGTAGTGGCATCCTTATGTACACTACAGTACATCCACGGGAACCAAAGGTTTGGCTGACCTTGTTCTCTTGTAATAGGACTTCAATCACCATGGTACAGACTCTTTATGTTAGGCTATTTCACTACAGATCACATAGCCCACTCTAAATTATCCCACAGTGATCCAGTACAAGGCTGTGCAGCAGCAAACCCCTTTTTTCTCTAGCAGGTGTTGCTTGAGTTTCGGTCCCACCTAGCCCAGAGCCACTTTGCCCCAAATAAACACACGAATAATATATTAGTTATAAAACTGTTGGCTGATGGCTAGGGCTTCTTACTTGCTAGCTCTCTCTTAAGTATTAACCCATTTCTGTTAATCTATGCATTTCCATGTGGTCTTGGCTTACCGGAGAATGCCCGGACTTGTTACTCCTTTGTGGTCTATATGGCATCTCTTTGCCTACCTTTCTCAGAATTCTTGTCTCCTAGTCCTGCCTCTACTGGCCAAACAATGTTTTATTCATCAACCAATAAGAGAAACATATACACAGGAATTTCATTGATTATAATTATTCTGATTTCGTTGTCTACCAGTTACAAAAATGCTAGTGTTTTTAATGTGTTTCCTCTTCCATCATGCTCTTTCTGCCCCAGTAAAGTTTTTATTTAACAATTAGAATGTCTTAAGTAACCACGACCTACCTTTTTTTTTCCTTTTTAATGAACTCTTAGGAAAATCATCTGCTTCTTAGTCAGCACTTTCTATTCACAGCTGACCCACTTCACTTTACTACCGATTCACACCATACGATGCAGCCAAGGAGTGGATTACACTGCAGAAGGTCCAAGTTCAGATCTGCCCCAGATTTAAGATGACCACATTTGATGAGACCCCTCTGACTTCCCTCCTACACCTGGCTCCACAGCCCACACAGCCCAGGGAGGGGCCTCCTCTCCTCTGGAGTCAACAGGCTGAAAACTAACTACACTGTACAGTGTACCATGGCCCAGCACAGTGTGCCAGCTCATACCACTAGCCACAATTGCTGAAGCTAAACACAGTTTACTTCTTGGCAAGTGGGACTGAATCCTGAAATATAGTTCCTGGCTCCCTGCCCATTGTTACAGTTAGAGGATTTAACCCTTCCTTCTACTGGAGCATTGCAACCTGTTACCTCTTGCCTTCAAGGAATCACACAGATGATGACTAACTCTGGAGAAGAAAGTCTCTAAGGACACTAACACTTGGACAGAACTAACTTCCACACTTGCTTTACCCCAGAATGAATTACTTATGTACTCTCAAGGGCCAGAGGTCACAGCAGCAGCTCTACTTTGCTCCTCACATTTCACAACCTTCACAATCTCTCTCTCTCTCTAATAAACAAGTCCAGAGGGCTGGAAGAAGCAGCAGGAGCCTCATCTCCCCAGTGGCTCTTCAAGGCAGTGTCACTGGATATACCATTATCCCAGTTACTGCCCAGGGTTCAGACTCTACACAGAGAAGATTAAAGTTTCCTTTAGAAAATTCAGTCTCAAGCTGGATGACCTATAATCCCACTACTCAAAGGGTGATCAGAAGTTCACCACCCTTGGCTTCATAGTAAAAGACCAGCCAAGGCAAGCCTTAAATAAAACACAACACAAAAGGAAACAAACAAACAAAATGGCGGGCAGTGGTGGCACATGCCTTTAATCACAGCACTCCCTAGGCAGAGAGGTAAGAGGATCTTGGCGAATTCAAGGTCAGCCTAGTCTACAGAGTGAGTTCTAGGACAACACAGAGGAAACCCTATTTTGGGAAAAGAAAAGAAAACAAAAGCAAAAAAGACAACAACTCCAACCTTAAGCTACTGTGAGAGAATGCATTGCTTCCCTTATAAGAAGCAGTGTGCCATAAGCAGTCACCAGGGACTGTCTCAAACCTAGTGCCTCACTCTATGCTCTCTACCCAACAAGAGCCACAAAATCCAAAGTGACAAGCTCTCAGGAGACACTTGGAAGTGGACAGTGGAGTCTATTTGACCTTATGGTTTCAGAGGGCTAAGGACTGGGGACCTCAAATTACAATGACAGCCTGTACAGGGTATTCTCAATCAAATCACCACACTCCACTCCCACATTCCATAGGTTCATGGTCATATCATAATGCTAGTCCAACTTCAAGAGCCTCTTCTGAGACTCAAGGCAGGCTCTTCATTGTAAGCCCCTTATTAAAAAACAAAAAACAAATTACATACTTCCAACATACAGTGGCAGAGAAGATATATTTCCCTTCTAAAAGGGAGGAGTCTGGCCTTAATACCAGACCAAAGCAAGACTGAAATCCAGCAGGGCAAACCCCAAATCCTGTAGCTCCACAGCTGATGTTAGAGGGAGGGCTTAGATGGGTTTGCCGCCTACCTCTTTCTGAGCTAATTCCAATCTCTATAAGCAGCAGTTCTTGGCAGGAATCCCAGGGCTCTGTCATCTTCAACATGTTGGGGTCACCAATGCAACTCATTGCATTTTCATAGCTTCATGCAATGGCTTATTAGGGTCTCCATGCAGGGCACTGCATGCCACAAACCTGGCCTCAGCAGCTCTCTGAAATCATGGAGGATGACTCCACAATCCTTTTAAATGTTCCTGTACCCTTTATGACTCTAAAGCCAACACCACATGGACATCACTGCCAAGTTCAGACACTAACTTGGTTGTTCTTTTCTAGGAGCAGAAAATTACTTAGGTTTTTCCTTTCACAAGTTGGAAGCTTGATTGGGTTGGGGTCTTGCCCTGAGGCCACAGAATGTAGTAGTTTGAGTGAGATGTCCCCCATAGTCAAAATCATTTTAATACTTGTCCCCTGGTTGGTGGTATTGTTTGGGGGGGGGGGGTTAGGAAATGTGGCCTGGCTAGAGGAAGTACATCACTGGGGTGGGCTTAGAGGTTTCAAAGCCTTGCATCATTCCCAGTTCACTCTCTCTGCTTCCTGCTTGCTTTTTAAGATTTGAGCTCTCGGCTGTTTCTGCCACCATGCCTACCTGCTTCCAGGCCTCCCTGATGTGATGGAGGGACTCTTATCCCTCTGGAACCATAGCTCAAATAACACCTTCTTCTTACAAACTGCCTTGGTCGTGATGTTTCATCACAGTAATAGAAAACAGACAACTTTGAAGTACAAAGACAAAAAGATGTAACTACAACATGTCAATCAACTTATTTATATGAACAAAGTAATTACAGCTATAAAGACAAATGACAAAGACTAGTACTGAATGAACTTCTGCTTCTGGCTTAAATTAATGTATTCATTTACAAGGCCAGGTGGTGATCCCAGCAGGCAGAAAGAAGCAGGTGGATCTCTTGAGTTCAAGGCCAGCCAGGTCTACAGAGTGAGTTTCAGATGGCCAAGGCTACACAGAGAAACCCTATCCCCAAACCCCCAAGTAAATATTCATTCACAAATATCTGGGGAAAATGCTAATAGTAGCCATCTTCATTACCAAAGGTCACTGTACATGAAATGTTATCTCATGTTTAATAGCATAAAAATCTGTACATATTAAATTGCAAGTTCCTCCAACAAGACTTGGTAAGTGTCTACCTCATGCCAGGCACTGCTCTAAGCACTGGGGACATAAGGGATGACGTCTGCCTTTTGGAAGCTTGCATTCTGATGGAAAAGAGGACAAATAAGTTGTTCAGTGTAGGATGAACACAGTAATAGCAAGAAGGAGGGGATACATTTTAGAGAGGGTTCTGGATGGCAGCAAGACATAGAAGGAGAAATGGAGAAGAGAGCAGTGAGGGTTTAGAGCTAAACATGATTATTGAAAAACAGGGGAAACCTACGCTTCATAAAGATACACATGGACCTGAAAAGCAGAATGCTGGTTAATTTTTAAATTTCCCAAAACATCATTTAAATGTGTTGTGGGTTTAATATTAGTATGCCCATAAGCACATAGCGATGTGAATGCGAAGTCAGGTCAACTTATATGAGTTTCCTTCCACAATCTGAACTCCAGGGATTGAATTCATGTTGTCAGCAAGTGCCTTTACCTAATGAGCTATTTCACTGGCCCTCACTGTATATTTTTATATTTTTTACATTTATATTTTTCTGATGACCACCAAAATGTCCTCATGAATGCTAGGCAAGCATTCTTATTACTGAGCCACAACTCAGCTCAGCTTGGAAGCTATTTATAACAATGGTACTGAATGGCCTGAGAATTCTCAGAGAGAATGAGGCTGGGAACTATGTGTTAGGGAAGGGGAGACATCAGCATGAAGCAGATGCCACCAGGTGACAGTGGTCCAGGGAGTACCATCACAAGCAAACATCACACCAACAGAGTTCTTGCAAGGAGCAAAGAAAAGAGCATGAGTGTTTCCTCACAGTCAGAAGACACTGCTGGCAGACAGCTTACACCACATTTCCAGTACACACAGAAGGGAACTACCATGTGTCATTTAGGGTTATTTGGAAGAGTCACCAAGGGGGAGGAAATCTGTTCTTAAAATTTACCCTTTTTTTCACAGTGGTTAACCTCACAGTGAAATTAGAAAACACTATAAAGAGCCAGGATGAAAGTATGAATGAGACTCTAAATCTCACATCTGAAACTGTGACATATCACAGTAAATCACATGTATAAGGTTGTGCATCATCACCACATATCCTAGACATTAAGTAGGATAAACCATCATTCCAAACAATGTCCGCCTCAATAAGACCCTACAATTCAAGTGGAAGGCACATCTCTCATATGACTTAGAAATCCACTCAGAAATGAAGGGAAAAGCCAGGCGCTGGAAGCACACATCTTTAATCTCAGCACTCGAGGCAGGCAGATCTCTGAGTTTAAGGTCAGCTAGGGCTGTTACACAGAGAAACCTTATCTCAAAAAAAATAAATAAATAAAATAAAATAAAATAAAAAAATAGAAAGAAAGAAAGGAAGGAAGGAAGGAAGGAAGGAAGGAAGGAAGAAAAATGATGGGGGAAATATATGGCTTTTTAAAAAAAGCTTTCACACAAATAAAATTCAATTGTGGTAAGAAAATCAGAAAGGACCGGCGGAGGGGTGGGAGGGAGGCAGAGGGGACTTCAGGCAGCACTTCTCATCTTTGTTAGGATTGTGAAGATGACACAACAAAGAGTTTGGAACTCTAAGTCATGCAACTCAGGTCAGCACATTTTACTCCTCAGTAAAATAAAACTGATTTAAAAAGTAAAAATTAAGTGGCTTGTTATGCTGTACACATTTAATCCTAGCACTTGGGAGGTAGAGGACAGCCCAGAGTTACATAGTGAGATACTGTCTCAAATAAACAAACAAAACGTAAGAGAATGGTGGCTCATGTCTACAACCTTAACACCCAGGAGGCTGAGGTAGCAAGTCTTGAATTTGAGACCTGCCCAAACTATATACTAAGTCCCTGGCCAGCCTGAGCTACATGCAAACTCTGTCTTAAACAAGAGCAAAAATAAGAGAACCAAATCACTATCAAGTTTATGGACCTGACAGTCTAAAGTCTACAACAACAAGTCAGGAGGGCTAAAGCCCTCATAAACAGGCAAAACAGGGAGAGGAGGGAAGAAGCACTCAAAGGAAATCACAGTAACACAACCGTATGACATTACCAGTCTGGAAAAACAGGGGTCTGTAAGCAGCCAAAGACTGAAGAGGTGTACTAGAGGAGCCACTGGACTGACAACCCAGCCCACTACAATACACAAGTCCCAGTACTTAGTAAACAACATTCTTCATGTTGACTCTGGGATAAGAGAAGGCATCCTTGTGTTCAGTACCCCTTAACATGGAACACTCATGGTTTAGAACAGGCAGGGATTTCATCTCACCCACTCAAAGATACCAGACATGCAAAGCACCCCACATCTAAATATGACATAAGCAACTTGTATCACACCAGTTACAATGTCCCAGAGTACTCTGTAAAATGGTCACATAGGTTCAAGATAGGGATTTGCTTGGTAGGCCCAAACTGGCCTTGAACTTGTGAACTTCCTGCCTCAGCCTCTTAAGTGCTAGTATTATAAGCATGCACCACTGCAGCTGGATGTAAATGGAATTATAAATTACCAAAAACATTCTAAACAGGATACTTATAAACACTCTCCTAAGAGACAAGGCCATGGTTTATTCATGGACTCATTATCACATACCAAAATTCTGTACCTCTCAATTTTAATTCATGACTCATTTTCAGTTCCTCACCCCTTTCCCCAACTCTCCTAAATAAGACAACATCCTCCTTTTCTGCAACAACTTTTCATCCTTTGTTTCCTTCTTTTTCTGTGCAACTCAGCTCAAGTAACAATATGAACTTTATAGTTGTCAAATGATGCCAGAAACATTTGTAGACTGATTGCCCCAGAACAGCTCTGGACACCTATTCAAAAATCTCAAAGGTCAGACCACTCCAGCCTTAACCAGTATCACATTATTCTGTTAGCATGACTGAAGACAAACCATCCCTCTCCTTTTCTCTGCATCATAATCCCGTGCTATGGCGTCATCTGAATAATGCCCTCTGGACACTCTAACACTTTCACTTCTTCACACAGCAAGTGCAGAGGGAACACAGCTGATTCGGTTCCCATCCCAGTGCCTCCTTCAACTATGGGCTGGTTTCCTTGCAGAAGCCCTGAGAATTGATTCCCTTACTCTTCCTACACCACCTAATGGAAGTAGCACGAACTGGCTACCGATGGTTGGCTACTGGAGGCCAACAGGGGTTGGTGATCAGCAATTCCTGTTCTAACATCTTCACTGGGAAAGTCTGACCAAGGAGATAGCTGCTGCCCTGGAGACTGGGCATTCATAATCAGTCCTAAGGGGGACAGTTGGTAATCTGTTTGCTAGAACCTGGGCCCAAGTAGTGTGTATCATTTAATCTTGATGTTGTCCTATTTGACCCCCAATCTGTAGATGGAGGCTGCAGCTGAGCAGCTAAAGCAACTTCACCCAGGTCAGGCTCTTCTGGAGTATTATCAAAACCCACATTCAACAGTAGGCTACAGTCAGCATTAGCTGTCTGGCTTTTACGGAGTCATCACACTCATTTGCTATGTGGCTGCAAGATATAGGCCTTAACATCATAGGGCATGGGAGATCTTACTAAGTGTTAACTTTGAGACACTATCCAGAGAAAGACAGATTTGGGCAGACCTTTACATGTGCTGTTTGAAAAATACATGAACACTGAAGTATGCAGGAACATTTATTACCTGGGCTTACAGTCAGCTGAAAGCAATGAAGCTTGTTTGGATCAGGAAAATGTACTTTACACGTACCTGCAAAAGAAATAGCCATTAAGAAGGTCTGGAGTGAGCAGCTGTCCGCACTCTGAGCTAATCTTTGAACACACAGAAACCAGTGGTTGCTGATTCACAAAGCAAGTAGTTTTGCTGTTGTTTTTGCCATTTTAGGTTAATTCCAAATCAAGACATTTACTGTAACTTTTATATGGTCATTGAAGAATCTTTTAATTAGAGAACTGTGCTATTTATTCTGAAAGAAACTATCTCTCAAAGACATTCATATGTGGGTAAAGGGTAACTAAACAAGAAAAAACTAGGAAAGAACCAGGTCAAACTCCTGTCCAATTTACTCTGTGCTAAGGAGATTCACAGACATGCATGTCCATCATCAGAAGTTAGAAAGGGAAGGCATTACAGTTACAGTTAGCACCACCCAAAAATTTTTTGTTTGTTTCTCTGTATCGCTTTGGAGCCTGTCCTGGAACTAGCTCTGTAGACCAGGCTGGACTCCAACTCACAGAGATCCACCTGCCTCTGCCTCCCGATAACTGGGATTAAAGGCTTGCTCCACCAACGCCCAGCTGCCACCCAGAATTTACCATAACATTGGAGGGGGGGGGGGGGAAATCTCTTTCACAAAGGACACAGGACAGCTATCACTTATGAAAGACCTTACAGATCTGTAAAGAATACTCAGGAAATTTCCCTATGCTCATGTAACTCAGAAGATACAAGTATAAATTCCTTAGTGTACCTACTAAGGTTATTGCTTACAAAAGCCCCACTTGTTCAGTTCTACACTGATAAAATTTTCAACAAAAACAGGATTCAAATATAGTGAGAAATAACTTAAAGATCATCTAGTTCAATGTTATTGATTTGGACAGATGACAAGAAGGTTCAGAGGAGTCCAGTGCCTAGTCTGAGTCTATTCACTTTGGTATTTAATAAGCATGTCATACACAAAACAATGAGATAAAACACAGAACAATTTAAGGGTGAGATGGATTTTCTTTTTTACAGTGGGGAGAAAGCCCTCAGTCTACAGGATAAGAAGCAGTTTCAGAAATACAGTACCATATTCTTTACTTTAGAAATAAAGAGTCTCAGGCTGGAGAGATGGCTCAGCAATTAAGAGCTCTGATTGCTCTCTTCCAGGGAACCCGGGTTCAATTCCCAGCACCCATATGGCAGTTTACAACTATTTGTAACTCCAGTTCCAGGGGCTCTGATACTCTCACACAGACAGGTGAGACACCAATGCATATAAAATAAAAATGAACCTTTAAAAAACTAAAATACATCTTTAAAAAATAAAGAGAATCAAAGCAATAGGTTGACTTTCTGCAAAAATAATTTTGAACTATATATATACTGAAAACAAGTTTCATTACTTTACCTTTTCAAAATTATTATTATTTTTTAGATTAACAAAGTATTGGGTTTCATCATGGCATCTTCATGCATCTTTGACTCATGACCCTTAATTATTCTCCTTCCCCACCAACCTTCCCTCCATTCCCATCAAACTGGTTTCCTTTCTTCCTGTTATTTCCAGCTTCCTTTTCCTTTTCCATGGAATGTATTACCTTATTTTTTATCTATTGGTCTCTTTCCATCTTATGATCCCCCTTCCTAGTTTTGAGAGCCCCCCCCCCAGATACACAGACAAGCATAATTTTACATCTAATTTTTGATATGAGAAAAAAAAATGGAGCTTATGAGCCACATTCATTTCTCTTACCATAAAGATTTCCAACTACATTCATTTTCCTGCAAATGCCATGATTTCGTTTCTCTTTACATCTACATAAAATTATATTATGTGTATATACATTTTCTTTACTCGACTTCTACTTCCTGGCTCTTATGAATAACGTAGCTATAAATGCATTTGTACAAGTTAACTTTTCGGTATGTTGACTTACAGAATCCTTTGAGTATATCCCTAAGAGTGGTATAACTGGGTTATATCAAAGTTCTCTCTCTCCTTTATTTTTGGAAGAACTTCCATATTGATTTCTACAATGATCATCTAGAGTGAGTAAGGACCATCTTTTCCCACATTCTCCGTAGCATGTCTTGTCATTTTTTTTTCTTGATGACACCCATTAAAATTGGGTTATATCCCTGAACTGTTTTAATTTGTAGTTCACTGATGGCCAAAGATGCTGCTAAACAGGTTTTCAAGAATTTACTGGGCATTTGTATTTCTTTTTTGAGAATTGTCTAAAATTCACTAGCCCATTTATTGATTGATCTGAGTTTTTGTTGCTTACTGTGTGTATATACACATGATGTATGGGGGTGCACACACCATGGCACAAATGTGGAAGTGGGCAGACAACTTACTTTATAGAGTTGGTTCTCTCTACCTTCTGAGCCATCTCATGAGCCCCTGGCAAAGACTTTTCTATCTATTCTATAGACTGTCTCTTCTCAATGGTGACTGTTCTCTTTCTAATTTTTATATATTCCCATGTTAACTCTTTTAATTATTTCCTATGTTCCTGGACTCCTTTCCAGAGAATCCTGTCTACACTATCTTGAACTGTTTTATCTCGACCTTATTTTGAAAATAGAAACAGCATCCTTTGAAATACAGGTAAGAAAAAAATGAAGGCTTAGTAAATACTTCAATCATTATTTGAGATTGGTGTTACCCATTTGTTTTTAGTACCTGGCACCCTTTTTCTTTTAATCAGGGATTAAATGTGCAATCTCTGAAATAGAGTAGCCTTCCAAAAATACATAAACGAGCAAAACAAGTTTTAAAAATTAATTAATCTACCATAATCAAATAACAAAGTTTAAAGCTCAAGAAAAATTAAAAACACACACACACACACACACACACACACCAAGAGAGTAAGTGAAGCACTTAAAACACTAGAATTAGTCTTCTTTATATACAACAGGGCTTAAGCATTTCCAGAGAAGCCGCTATGCACTTGTACATACAGAGCTCTGAGGTCATTCTGCAGTTACTAATCACAATGCCACATACAAAGCTATACTTATGGATCTGTAAATATTTTAGAAAAGCTTTTAAAGAGACAGGGAAGAATTGGTCTGTGGTGGCTTGTTTCTTCTTCAGGATGATGAGTGGCAGATTTGTAGAAAACAAGAGGAAAAGAGAAAGAAAGAGTAAAAAGCACAATGTCAAATAATGTGTACAATCTGCTATCTTAGCTACGGCATGGAAAACAGACCATATCTTTTCCAGATCCTCCAAGATTCACAAACACACTAGCTATTTCTAAGTGGACACTTTCTGTATTCTCTAATGTAAAGACACTTTGAACATACATGTGTGAGTCACAGACAGTGGAAAGACTGACTGGACTACAAACAAACAAACAAAACAACCCATCGTGTGGTACTTTTACTATTGGAATGAATGTGTCCTAACACACAGGCAGCGAGACAAGCAAATAAGCTTAACATCTGGCTCTAGGCCGCTGCCATCCTGCTTGTCTAAAACGCTCATGCACATTTACTTTCCTAAGCTTTTGTTTTGTTTTGTTTGAGACAGGGTTTTTCTTTGTGTAGCACTGGCTGTCCTGAAACTCAGAGATCCACCTGCCTCTGCGTCCTGAGTGACAGAATTAAAGGCGTGTTAAAGCATACCCTTTTGCTTTTCCCTTAATAGGTAGAATTACGCCTCCCACCCCCACATCTGAGATTGAAACCAGGGCATTACAAATGCTAGTACTCTATTACTTGCTACTGAGCCATCCATCAGCTTCAAAATTAACATTTTAATAAAATTCCCAGACAATACCTTCAGTTCTGAATGAAAGTAACTTTGAAGTCAATCCACAAAATTTCAAGATGTTTTGGCTGAGGCCCATAGAATATATTTTCTATCATAACCCACTCTTCCCCCACACAAATGTTAGACATCAAAAGTGATTGTTCAGCCTGGCCAGGTTGTGAATACCTTTGATCCCAGGAGGCAGAGACAAGCAGAGCTCTGATTTGAGACCAGCCTGATCTACATAAGTACCAGACTATCCAGGGCTATACAACGAGGCCTGTCTTAAAAATAAAACAAAAACCCTTTAACAAGCAATTTAGCTCTGCGCTCACAAATTAATTTCACAACCACCCAAGGATTGCAGGCCACCAACTTTATGTGTTGGTGGGAATAAAGCCTCTTCAAGAAATATCGATGGGATTCCACATCAAAACCCAAGTCCTCTGTAATATTCACAACAACAGAAAACCCATACACAGCATGTTACCTGTATCAGGAGGCATCCTTAGATGCATACTTTTAAACAAACTAAAAGTTTTAACAACAACAAAATAATAATAATAATATGGTTAAACCTTTCAGACTTTCACAGATATTTGAAATGTAAAAATTTGGAGGAAGATTAGTGATAGAAAAAAAAGAATCTGACATACGTTATCCAAGCACACTTCTGAATGACTACACAGTCAGGTCCATGAGCTGGCAGGAAAGACCAAGCAAGGGATCTATCCATGGGTGAAAAGCAATGAAGCTGCCTTTCCTCAAACACAAAAACAAATTACCAGTAAACACCTTCTGAACCACATGAGAGCATACCCCCTAAAGTAGGGCTGTGAACTCACACTCCTTTCCACTCAGGGAGGAGGAGGAAAAACAGAAGGCAACTGACCAAACATGCTTCCATTACACTGAGACAGAATTCTACATGTGTTATTCAGGACTAAAGAACCTCTTTGTTGTTGAGACAGGATCTGTCTACATAGCCACAGCCATCCTGATACTCACTGTGTTAACCTGTCTGGCCTCGAACTCAAGAGATCTGCTAGGACCTAATTTTATTAGACATTGCAAAAAATTCTTCTTGCACAAAATTAAAACTTATTTCCAACAAAGACAAAATAGGTTTTTTTGCTATTCAAAGCTATTTGCTATTCAAGTTTTCATGTCATCACTATATAGTACTAACATGACCAGTGCGCTATACTTACAGGGTAAATTAGCTTCAAGTTCTGCAACCTCTGTAAAAATAAAAAGACTGTGATTAGTAGCAATCTTTATATTATCAGTTTTAAAATAGTAATTTCTTCTAGGATTACAGAAGTAATTAAGCTCGATGAATTGAAACCTAGTATAAAATTAATATTTTAAGTCATTTAGTTTTCATATACTCAAGGTGACATGCAGAGTACCAACGAATAAATGCAGCAAAAAACCCAAATAAACAAAATACTCATCACTTTAATAAAAGAATGAAAGTCACGTCACATCAACACAGCAACTGCCTATAGGTAAGCAGTGACTAGAGTGCTTAAAAGAAAAAAAAAAAGACTCTTCCTAAGCAAAGATCTTTTTAATCAAACTGTGATTTTATGTCTCTTCTCAAATGTGCCTTCAAGTTACCTCCTTTGAACTTACATTTCTTGACCTCAGTCCTCTCCCATGTACTTCAGAAAATTCAGTTCACACATTCAGTAACTTAGTGGTGGTATTTAAGCCTATCATCCTTTCACAAGTCAAAACTACAGCTCTCCTTTCTAGGATCTTGCTATCAAAAGAGCCAAGGTCTCACTCTCTACCATCTGGTTGATAGAAGATATGCTTACTCTCACCACTATTCCACAGAACACTAGAGGAAGTAAAACCATCAGAGCTGTTTACAGAAGACATCTTACACAGAGAAAGCCTAGATTCCAACAGTAAACATTAAACATCAAATGCCGGGTATGGTGGCACACACCTTTGATCCCAGCACTCGGGGAGCAAAGGCAGGCAGCCAGGGTTCTGTTACACAGAGAAAGCCTGTCTCAATCTTCCCCTCCCCCAAAAGAAGTCCTAATAAATAAAATCAAAGAAAAGATCAATATACAAAAACCAATCTGCTACATTAATAATGTAACTATTTAAAATAAAAAATGTCATGTGTGGCAGTACACACCTGTAATACAAGCTCTCTAGAAGTTCAAAGCCACCCAGTAGTTCTAGAACCATACCCTGTCTTTAAAAAATAAAAAGGTACATAAAAACAAGAGAGAAGGAGAGGAAAAGGAGGAAAGAAAGAAAACCTGAGGGCTTGAGGTCACTAAGGAAATGGGAGGCCCTAGGTTCAATCTCCAACACTGTACAAAAAGACAAAGAAACCGAGAAAGCAATTCCATTTACTAAAAATATTATTCAGGACTAAATTCAATTATAAAGATGAAAGATCTATACTCTCAAACTGTAAAATAATGTGGACAGAAACCAAAGACCAAACAAATGGGGCCTACCACCCAATGAAGTTCACAGACACTGTGCAATCCCCATCACAATTTCAGTGGCATTCTTCACAGAACCTCTAGAACCATAGACCCACAGAATCTTGAGGATGAACAACAAAGCTAAAACCATTCTTTCTGACTTCAAATTATATTACACACATATAATAATCAAAACAATTATTATGGGCATAAAAACAGGCCAACAGAACAACAGGAGGAAGCTAGAGAAAACTTATTAACACATACAGTCCAGTAATGGGCAAAAGCATCAAGGCAAATTGGTAAATGAGGGAGGGCCTCCAGGGGAGATGTCCTTACACAAAATATCAAAATGATTAAAAGGCTTAAACATAAGTTGTAAAACCACCAAGGGTGGTGGTGAAGTAAATTCTCCAACCTGGCTTTAGCAATGATAATTTTTTTTTTGTAATTTTTTTTAAAGCTCAAATAATAAAAGCAAAAATGGAACAGTGTAGTACTAAGCTAAAAACACTACAGCACAGAAAAGGTGTAGTCTATGTGCACAGACTAGGAGGAAATGTTTGCAAATCATGTAGCTGAAGAGGGTTTAGTGTAAAAGATGTCAAGCACACACAACAGAAAAGAAAAAAAAAAATTAAAATCTGGCAGAGGACCTAAACAGACATTTCTCCAAAGAGAAAAATGGTCAACAGTTTTATGAAAAGACACATGGCAGACACTATGCATCAAAACAAGACCATGACTGCTATCTCACATATTTCTGGTTTAATTACTACAGATATGAGTAGCAACTGTGGTAAGGATACAGAGAAAATGGAACCCTTTGTGAATCAGTAGTTATGAAAAACACCAGTCCCTCAAAAATCTAAAAATAGAGGGAAAATAGAAACTACTACATGACCTAGCAACCCTTCTGAAGATATACTCAAAATAAATGAACCAATACCTTTTAGGAGTGGTTCTCAACCTGTGCATATCAGGTGTTTACATTATCATTCATAACAACAGCAAAATTTCTGTTATAAAACAGCAACACGATAATTTTATGGATGAGGTCATCACGACATGAGCAACTGTATTAAAGGGTCGCAGCGCTAGGAAGGTTGAGAACACTGTTTTAGAGGGACAAACACTCCCATGCTCACCAGTTATTTTTCTCCCTCATCTCCCCGCCCAAGTCAGCATTTCTCTGTCTAACAGCCTGGCTGTCCTGGAACTTGCTCTGTAGACCAGGCTGGCCTCAAACTCACAGAGATCCACCTGCCTCTGCCTCCCAGGTACTGGGATTAAAGGAATGTGCTACCATCTCCCAGTCGACTGGCAGTCATTTTTCATGATAGCCAAGATAGTGAATAATAAAGAAACCATGGGATGTATAAGAAACACTACGTAACATTAGCAAAGACAATTCTGCCATTTGTGACAATGTAGACAGACCAAAGGACATCATACTAAGAGCTGTGTGTTCAAATGGTAGGAGAGGCAAGGAAGCTATCTAGGATCTCCTTTTACTAGCAACTCCACCCCAAGAATTACCTCCTAAAAGTAATGACCTCCCAATACTACCTCAAATGTTTAGATTTGAATGTACAAATCTGGAAGACAAGTCATTCAGGCTACTTTAGACAACACTGCTTGTGAAAAGATATCCTAATACCATTGTATACATACATAAATTTAATAAAAAGTTCTAATTTTCTCTTTCTGCCGTTTGCCTGCCTCTATCTCTATCTTTTTCTCTCCCTTCCAATAAAATTTCCACATTAAAAAAATTCTAATTTTACATGACATCAACAAATGTAAGGTTTTGCTTGTATTCATCATGCCCAGTTTAACTCACCCAGGAAAGGAAGAGGGGTGAGGAGAGCCCCAAACACAGCCTGCTGACCATACCAGGACTCCTGTGTTCTACCTATCAGAGCCAGCAAAGGAATCGAATCCTTGGGACATGGGATTTCAATAAAGATGCCTGGCACTTTGTCTAACCCAGTGCAGAATATAAAACACCCATCAAATCTGCATAGTGTTTTCACAAGGTAACACCTCTTTTGCTAGGTGGCTCAGCATTTCTGGGAGGCACCTGGCACCTTGCATAACTCAGTGGCTGCATAACTTCCTTCTGAGAAATTAAATTCTTTTACTTTCTATGTAAGGATAAAAGCAGAGGCCACTGGAAGTGTAATCATAGCCAGACTACAAAATCCAATTGCTGCAATGGCTTCCACACCTCACACACTCTTGCTTTGGGCACCTCACAACACTGGGCTCTAGCTGTGTCCTCCAGATCTGCTACCCCACCTGCACACCATCATGGGGAACCACACAGCCTGCCCCAGCCCTACTTTGTGCCCTACCTGGTCACAAAATCTTTGATAAATGTACTGCATGTAAACACACTTGCCTTACAAGGGGGCAGGGCCCCTCCTGTTAATACCTTGAGATATTGAAAGAACTTTCCTCATGTGGCCTGGAACTGGGGAAGAATTCCAAAGGTACTATGGAAGCTCTATGCTCTAATAAAGTGGCACTTGGAGGTCATTAGGCAGTCTTGGCAGAGGTCTCACATGAGGTCAGTGTCCTCAGTAGAAGACCATTCTCCCCAGGCACCTCCTTTCTTTCTCTGTTGGGTAAGGACACAAGCAGAGAGCCATTTGTTTATAAACCAAGAAGACCACTAGGACTTGATCTTAGACATCAAATCAGCTTCTAGAACTATGAGAAATGTTACCTAATCTGGAGTGGTTTGTTATAGCAGCCTAAGCTAAGATAAACGTCTAGCCCCATCAGAGATACACATGGTTCTTAGCAGAATTGAGTTCCAACATCAGACAACACAAGTATAGGAGCTGAGCCCCTCATTCCCAGGACATGGGCCTAAGCCCCTTTAGACAGCACTGATACAAAACTAACTTACTCACCAAAGGTGATTCTAGTATCACTCTAAAGTGCAAACCACAACTCCCCCAAAACAGTTTCCTCTGACAAATGTCTAGTATTGCTAAGAATGTAGCCCTGGACTGTATAACACCTACTTTTGAGATGAGCACAGAAAATAACAAGCAGAACACCTATCTATAGCCTCCATGGGCCCTCCTGCCCCCTTATACTGTTTGGTGTACTTATGGAGGCTGTCCAGGTTCCCTGAAGAGTCACTGGTGTTTAACCTTCAACAGAGCACATAATTCTGTGTGTGCTCAGACAGTGCCCTCCTATTTGACTATCAGCAGGACTCCTTGTTAGGCTCCACTCAGATTCTCAGATTCATATGCTGCCAAATGCTGTGACAACCTTAACCCTGACCCATTCATTCACTAGATTTGTGTTGGAGACTAACAAGTGGGAACAGAGTTGGGACCTTTCTCCCCTTCAGGAGCCACATTAGCACAGGGGCATTGTGGCAGCCCTGGCAGATTGTGAGGGCCCAACCACACAGATGCATTATCCCTCACGCTAAGATGCCTGGCTGGGCAAGAGTGGAACCGAGACTATAGTTCACCAGTAAGTGGCAGGGCCTCATGAACCCCTCCCCCATCTATAAAAGCACCTATTTTTGGCCTGTTAGTATCTACAATCTTTCCCTTGGCTCTTTGGAACACTAGTGTAGAGGACAGTCTTCTGTGACACATTGCCCAGATGCCCTCTCACTGAGGCTATGGACACATGGCCTTTGTCCTAGGATTTTATGGCTGTATAGACTGCTACCGCAGGCTGCACACCTTCCAAGACAGCCCCACATGATTAAAAGCAGAGCAGGAAGGCCTGAGCCTTTTGCCAGCCTAGTGACAGCTCTAAGAACAGAGCAAAGGCTATAATGAGACATTCTCCTCCAAGTGTGATTGATCATCCCTCAGCTTGCTTTCTTCACACTGTATTCTCTCAAGGTGTTTTTTAGTTGCCCTGCAAACAAGCTCCTGCCTCCCCCATTAGAACACAGTCTGTAGTACTAAGTCTTAGACACAATCCTAGACCCTGTCCGTACTCACGAAAGATATCTCACAGGAACCCACTTTATGACCTAGGGCAATCATCCCAATTTGAGCCATCTTGCTAAACCCAGACTCTTTCAAAGTCCCTAAAGCTATCCGAAAACTCCCAGTTGAGTCCCTACACACAGAATGGGTGCAGATTCTGTCAAAACTCTCTTTTCTGTTAACTTGCATATCTGCTCTTTGAGCTGCAGTGTTTAATCGATTTTCCTAGAGCCTGCCTCGCCCCTAAGATGTAAGTCTAGCCATCCTGCTCCAACGATTGCAGGCTTCTTAACCTAAATCTCAGCTCTTCGGGTAGAAAATGAAGCACCATCCTGGCAATTACCCCTAAAGTGCTTGCTATGGTTTGATCCACAATACCTACTATAGTCTGAAGATGCTCCAAACTCATATTAAAACCTAATCCCCAATGTGGTACTACTAATATGAGGTGGGGTCTTGGAGTGATTAGCTTTCCAGACTATCTAGATCATGAGAAAGATGTTCCTATTGTCTACAAAGAATACAATTTTTTTTTCCAAAGCAATACAATCAGGACCTAGCCCCAAGTACTTGGTATACCAAAGCTGCTACGAACCATGATGGTGGGTGGCAATGTGGAGAAGCGACAGTTTATTCTCAACTGATACCTCAAGACTTCTTTCCTACAATAAAACACTCTGCTGCAGTACTACAACTACACCCCCAAACTCCTCAGCCTGGCTCTCCTGATTCTGGAATGCCTCTACAAACAGACCCTGAGGGTTCTGAAAAGTCAAATGTCATCAGGCTCACCCAAATGAGGTGCTCCAGGCCATATCCTCCCCTGTGGAACTTACAATCTAAGTTGTTCTGGCCTTAAGAGGCAAGAATGATGATGTAAACGTTTTTCTACTTTCATCCATAAGCTAGTCAATGTTTAAGCAAATTCAAGATTTAAGTACAGGAAGTTCATAAGAGACTGTTACACCTGCACAAACCCACTGCCTTCAACCTCTGCACCTCCACATGTAAACTCCATGTAAACACCCATGAGTATACATCTGTGCATCCTTGCCCCTCACATGCACACAGGAACATGCAAACTACACATATACCACCTCCCACACACACACACCAACACACAAAAGGAACCCCTTTTATCAAACATAGTTTTCCTTTACAAACATGGACAGTGACTATGACCTTAGGATACAATTTTAATAAGAATTCGGTGAATTCTAATAATAAAATTACAATATGCATATTCATATAGTATTTGTGTGTGTTGGTGTACCTGTGCACTATAATTCTGTGACAGATACCCAGCTTTTCACAGGACTCCTTAGGCTGCATCTTGCATGAATCAGAAAATGAGCCTGTTCCAGCCTGGAAACTGCTGTGCATCTCACGGGAAAGTGGACAGCAGAGGAAAATAACAGCGGCACCCACATGCCTCAGGCCTGCCAACTCCTGACTTATTCTTTCCACAACACAACATGGCAGTGGAGCCAACAAAGAATATTCCTCTCACATCAGATACCACAGTTCTAACACCTATCTCCTTGCTATCACAATCCTGGTATAAATCCTGTCACTATAAATGACAATCAACCACATTTCATTTAATTTTTATTTTTTTGGAACAAGGTCTCTCCATGTAACTCTAGTCTTGAATTCAGAGATCTACCTGCCTTTTCCTCCAGAGACCTGGGATTAAAGGCATGCCTGGTTGATACTCACATGTTAAAATTATTTTAAAGTATTTCCACTCAACAGGCTACTTTACCTCCATCCACAAAGAGGCTCCAGGCAAGCTTTATTTTGTTACAGGGTATAAAAACAGTGTCCACGGAGGATGATTACCTTTAACAAGCAACTTGTCTCTCACAGAAACCCTCCGAGTGGAGTCAGATGTGGATGCTGATGTCCGGGATCCTTTGAGACCATCATCCCGCTTCAGCTTGCTAGCCAGTGTTAGCATTACTGCCACCTTTCTTCTGGAAGACAGGCAAGAGTAGGGTTAAGTAAGGAACACGTCTCCAGACAATAACTAGACAGGAGAAATATACTGTTGTTTTTACTTTAGATTTTCTCTACACATATTAACAAGACTGAATTCCTTCACAACAAATTTGAATAAGCCATGTGATTCTTTGTAAGTTTAGGGGAGTCACAAGTTTCATACTCACTAGGCACAAGTGTATGCTAATTCAATAACAACCGAGCCCCCACCCACCCCCAAGCTTCCCAACCAGCACGAATTCACTACCCCCACTGTTTCAAATGAAGTAACTGTCCCTGCAGCAATGTGATCCAGGTGTGGCCTGGGAGCATAAGTCTCTAGGGAAGAAGTGACATCTGATGCTTAGCTTTCCTTCTCCCTTAGAGGGAAGTGTAACTGTTGCATTTACTGATTTACAATGCCAACATTAAGAGCAAATTATAATGCCCTAAATTGAACTGTCTTCACTGGCTGCTTCCAGCCCCTGTGAGTTTCAGGTTCTCCTGCTGCAAACTCCTTGGGAAGGACAGCAAAATCCAAAGGCAGGTGAGGGTAATGCTCCTGACTGCCTGCATAGAGGGCGAAAGAAAGAACCACTACCCCACTCCTTAAGCCTTCAACTGTTAAAGCAGCAATAGAGTGCAGCAACAGAGCAACAAAAGGTTGGCAGCAGGCACGGGCACTTCCCATGCACTCCTCTCTCCAGTCTCATCACGATCAGCGTTCCCTCTTTACAAGAGGCTTTATTTGCTCTAACTGATGGACCTGTGTGTGTGAAGGCATTACCACCGAGAGTACAATTTACATTAGGATGTCAGCAATTCCTGCCACCAAAGTCTGCCTTCTGTTTCTATCACACCCTTCCATCAACCAGACATTCCTCATACTTGACACCCTCAGAGAGGGGCTCTAGCAAGAGGAAGAAAACAGTTCAATATTTTCATAATTTCCTTGTTTTAAAATTACTTCTTTTCAATACTGGTTTGATAATTTTTCAATCTAAAATTTTCCAGGTGAAAAAAGCTTTATCTGCGAGGTCAAACTTGAGGCTAAGGCCCTGAAAACAATGATATTCTTCTCTTCACTGGTACTTTAAAACACCTCAAACCTGGGTCTTTTGCCTAGTTTCTCATGTCATCTTTTGTGTATCCCTAGTGAGGGTCAGATTTCATTTTGTACCACATATCACAAAAACAAGACAGTGACTATGATCTTCCAAACTGTACATGGCCCTGCCATCTGAGGACTGGTCACACTGGGCACAGTGGCACATACCTATAACATCAGTATTACGGAGGCTGAGTGAGGCAGGGAGATCTGTCACTTGGAGCTAGCCTGGGCTACAGAGCTAGTTCCAGCACAGCCTCCAAAGCCACAGAGAAACCCTATCTCGAAAAACAACACAACAAAACAAGCAGCATTTGTCTAAACGTACCAAACAATTCTTGTATTGCATGTTAGTATGGATAAGCTCATAGCATTGAAATCTGGGAAAGATTCCTATCTCTCTCTCACACACACACACACACACACACACACTCTGCATGCACACTCACAGGCGAATGCCCATGTGGGCCCTGGAACAGGTATGGAGGGTGTCTAAGACACTCAGCTACAAGAAACACCACAAAAACCTAGTTTTCCTCTGGTTTCGGGTTTACACACTGACCAATCATGAAGTGATAGGCAGTTCAATCATACCTCAGTACAGTTGGCAAACATCTGAACGCACACTAGCACCTGTTTCTTCCATCCTGCTCTACAAATGCCTTCTCCTCAGGGGCATCTACGTGAAGAGATGCGCCTAGTACGAACACATACATCTTCAAGATTTTACTTCAGTCATAGAGCTGTGGTTCTACTGCTAAGTCACTTTCCCCAGGGAGGCTTCAGCCCAAAGGCTACCAGAACAGCACAACACAGCAACACTTTCCTGCGTTGGCCTGCACCTGGAACCTTCTTGTCAGGAATGAGGTACTGTTTGCCACCTTGGCCAAGTCCAAGTCCACCACTATGTGCTCAGACCTTGGGACATCAGGGTGCCTGACAATCTGGGGGCCAGTGAGGAGTATGGGCTGCTCCACATGGGGAGTATCAGACTTTCACCTTTGGTGTCAGGAAAGCCAACTGTGGAAAAGTGAAAAATAAAAGCAGGGGTTAACAGGTCAGGAGGCAGTCCCCTAGTGGTCACAGAAGTGCTTTGTGGAAAGTGAAGCCAGGGCACAAGCCACTCCACACTGCACTGCTCAGGGACTTGGCAGGGGTCAGGCCTTCCCCATACACTGCTGCTGCCCTTAATGCTCTCCTACCCCTCACCCACACTGAGGCCTTCTCTGAGGACGGGCATGTTCCGCTCTGCGAAGGCCATGCAGGGTAGAAAACACCGATGCTGTCCCTACAGAAAACACAACGTGCACCTTCTAATATTCTAAGGCAGGCAAAGACTAGAGGAGACACCAATTTTTCTATCATCTGTATCACTTTCATATGCCACAGGAGGAACAAACCAGTGTCAATCGAGAAATGGCCCCATAATCAGAAAATTAAATCTATACAAAGGGAACAAAAGTAATTACTCAAACTATCCAAAGGCTAGCAGACCACCTGCAGCTGCCTCAGAATTCTCAACACGTCCCACCTATGGAAAACCTGACTTTAACCCGAACTTCCCATTTCTCGAAAATCACTCTGTGACTAAGGCAGTATTTTGGGAACACATCAGCTATTCTGAAAAGCATGCTCAGCCTCTAAATTCCACAAGTTGTAATTGGCCCAGTTAGTTCCTCCTCTGGGTGGGACCGACTTTTAGGCCATCCACCAAAGAAGATTCCAGCTAGTTGTTTACCAGTCTCATCAAGTCCTGTTTACTCAGCATTCCTATGTGCCATGGTGAAATCAGGCCCGTGTCACCTGCGCAGGACCAGTCAGCTCAAGGTGAGGCTAACTCCTCACAAACCATTCCAATCCAAGTCCCAATCCAAGCACTCAAGTCAGAACTACAGGTCACTAGGGATACTTATTTAACCTCCCAAGCCCAAGGAAACAGATGAGGACATAAAAGTGTCCACACCCCGGTGCCGTACTGCATGACAGTGCCCAGGGGTCTCTTGCCTACTACCAGGTTTCCAGACTGACCGCCTCCGAAGCCCATCTTTGATTTCCGGTATCGAATGCCGGGTAGTTCCGCCCAGGTGGGGTTCCTGAAGCTTCCCCCATCGCTATGAGCTCTCTTCATTCCCAACGTTTCTCCGGCTCCCACTGCCGAGCTCCTGCCCCTCCAGCTAGGACGCCTGGGCACCAGGCCCACCAGCCGCCTCGCTCATGTCAGCGGCAGCCTGCTCATGTCTGGGACCTCGGGACAATCTCATAGCAACCAGGTCTTGGGATGGATGCCCTCTTCCCTTCACCACCTAGCCCTGTCAGGGACTCAGGGAAAGCCGGCTTCTACCTAAGGCCAAGCTCCGCTCCACGAAGCCTTCTCCGGCCACTCCGACCCACCGGCAGCGCCGAGGGGCGGATCCAGTGCCCACCCGAGGAGGAGGAAACCGAGCCCGTCGGGGAGAGGGCCACACCCGAGCCAGCACGCCGCGACACCGGGTGAGGGACCGACCCGGACCAGGCGGGACCGGCCGCCCCTCCTTCGCGCCGCCGCGGTGGCGGGCCGCGTTCGCCGCCCGCCCGGGGCAGCGGCCTCCCCGCCGTGGCCCGGGGCTCCCAGCGGGCCCGCGCCGTGACCTTGCCGCCGGCGGCACGGGGTCCGCCTCGGCCCGGCCCTCAGAGCCACGGGGGCTCGCTCGCTGCCCACCCGGCGCTTCCCGTCAGCCGCCGACCTCACGGCCCCCGCCCAGCGCCCGGAGAGAGGAGCCGCGGCCGCCGCTCAGCGCGCGCGACCGGCTTACCTGAGCACCGCGAGTCAGGCGAGGCGGGCCGGCACCCAACACCATGCCCGACCAGCGGCGGCAGCAAGACGCGATTGCCCTCACGGCCGCACCGGCTCCCGGCGGCGGGACCGGAAGTGGTGGGGCGGGGCCTGCGCCGTGACCGCAGCGGGCGCTTTAAAAAAAAAAAAATTCAAAGCTGCCAAGAACTTTATTGGCAGCCCCACGCGCAAACAACCGCGCGCGCGGGCCGGACCGGGCGGCCGTCGCTCATTGGCGGAGGACACGACCTGAGGGCGGGCCAAGGGAGCGCCAAGGCCTTCTCTGATTGGTCAACGGTGCCCGTGACTACATTCCAGCGCCCGGCGCGCGGTCTTCCGGCGTGTTTTCATTCATTAGGCCGCTTGAGGGCATGGAAGTGTAGTGCCAGCGGGTGGCGCTATATCCCTGTGCCCAGCGCCGTGACGGAATGCAAATGACCAGAGCTGCCTGCAGCCTGCTCTAGGGCTTTGGGGTAGTTACAAGTGCAGTTACACCACGTGGCCAATGGGCGTAGAGGCACTCTTCTTGCTCCTTGTTTTTAAATTTCTCTTTATTTGGTACTTTAAAAACAATGCTTCGGCCTGGCGTTGGTGGCGCATGCCTTTAATCCCAGCACTCAGAAGGCAGAGGCAAGTGGATCTCTATGGGTTCGAGGCCAGCCTGGTTGGTCTACAGAGCTAGTTCTGTTTTGTGAGCCCATCCCCGGGGGTCCTTCCTGGTCAGGAGTGCATGTTTTCAGGCTCTTCTGGGACCTAGGGCAACTGAAATTTTCCATCTTAACAGTTCCAGGACAGGTTCCAAAGCAATACAGAGAAACCCTGTCTCGAGAAACCAAAATAAATAAATTAAAATTAAAATATGCCTCAGGCCGGGCATGGTGGCGCACACCTTTAATCCCAGAGACATAGGAAGGCCTGGTCTACATAGTGAATTCCAGGACAGCCAGGGCTATGTGGAGAGAGCCTACCTCAAATATACAAAAATCTGCTTCGGGCCCCTGGATGGAGGGCAATGGTTGGGAACTTGCCTAGCATATGTGAGACCCTGGGGTTCCAAATACATCATCTTACTTGAATCTTGTGGGGTAGGAATTCTGTCCCTCTAGGACTGGAGATAGCATACTCTGGGAGAGAGTTAGGCAAGATTCCTAGGGAGAGGTAGGACCTAGGGAAGAAGATATTTGTGTCAAGGTTTCAATTTATTTTCTTTGCAGTTCTGGGGAATGGATCCCAGGAAATTTCACATGCAAAACACACTACCCCTGAGCTACATCCCAGACCCTAAAATTTCTTTGTAACATGAAAAATAAAAGAGCCAGGAACAGATATTGGGGTTCAAACTTCAAGCTGAAGAACAGAAAAGCAAAGTAGGAGTCCACTAGCTCTTTCCACTACCTTAGGCTGAGTGGGCTAATCCTGCTGCCTCTCCCCAGCGTGGCTGGAGAATTCTCAGTGTGGCTGGAGAATGAATGCCTCATACTGTGACCTTGCTCCTGTTTTATAGAGACCCCCCCCCCCCCAGTGATGGGATTAAAGGCATTTGATCCCAGGTTCTAAGATTATCTTTGTGTGAGAGATGCTTCTCTTTAGGACTGTATTGATCTTTTGTAGATCTGGGTGGCCTTGGGCTCAGAGATCTGTCTATCTTTTAATCCTAGGATAAAAGGTGTGTACCATCACCTCCTAGCTTCTGGCTGCTGGGATTAAAGGTGTATGCCTGGCTTCTATGGCTTGTGGTTGATTGTATTGTCTGAATCCTCAGGCAAGCTTTAATAAATCATACATAATATATCACTACATTTCTTTCTAAATGAGGCGTCTAGGATGGGGAAATGGCCCAGTGAGTAACACATGATAGTATAAGGACCTGACTTTGGATCTCCAGAACTCAGGCAGGGAGATGAGAGGCCCAGGCAGAGGAAGGAATCCCCAGGAGATCAGGAAAAAGTAACCTGGCTTACAGAGGGGAAGAGACCTTGGGCCAGGCTGGGTGGCAGATTTGAGTTTGAGGCCAGCCTAGTCTACATAGTGAGTTCCAAACCAGCCAAACCTATCTAATGAGATCCTGTCTCAACACACACACACACACACACACACCCCAATCAAAAAACCTGAAAGAACAGCACCAGAAGTTGTCCTTAAACCACCCATATACAATGTCACGTGTACACACATTCACACTCTCACACACACACATGTGTATATATATAAAAGGCTTTTAACAGGGAGGCGGTGGCACACGCCTTTAATCCCTACACTCAGGAGGCAGAGGTAGTCGAATATATGAATTTGAGGCTAGCTTAATCTAGAGTTTGAGGACAGCTAAGGCTACAGAGAAGCCCTGTCTCAAAATAGATAGATGTTAGAGAGATAGATGATAGATATATAGATGATAGATAAAGAGATAGACAGACAGACAGATAGAAAGATAGACAGATGACAGACAGATAGACAGACAGACAGATAGACAGACAGACAGATAGACAGACAGACAGATAGAGCGAGCGAGCCTTCTAATCTGAGGGAGGCTGTAAAGAGAAGAGATGGTAGTCGAGTGAACTCTTCATGACATGCCATGTTATTCTCTTAGGAAAACATGTGCGCTTTGCTCAGCTAACCCTGCCCCCACTCCTTTCTCCCCACCATTCCTGAGCCCTGCACTTCCTCCTTCCTAGTATTCTACTGTAGATATCATTACCTATTTCCCTGACCGAACTCATGTACATTTTGGACCCATGCCAGGTGTTCAGAACCCATTTGCTGGGCAAATACTGCACGAGTTTGTTCAAAGATCTGGTGAGAAAAGGGCTTGAAACCAGGCTGCAAAGGCAGCTACCACTGGAGTGGCTTAAACCAGCGTCTCAGCAGAATGCCTGAGTGCCTACACTGCAGGGATGTGCATCGCTTCCAGCTGCGTGTCATGAAGCGGCCTCATGTGTTCATCCAAGACTTAACCAAGAACCTACTGTGCTTTTGTTTATATTGTGCTCACAACAGCCCCATTGAACAGAATTCTGTTAGCTCCGGCTTGTAAGAGATCTGAAGCACAGAGTTGAGGAGCTTGTATAGCATGGCCGAACAGGCCTGTGAATCCAACTCATCTGTCTCGGGCTTTCTGTCTGAGACAGGCTGCTAATGCCAACAGCAAGAAAAGGGACATTTCTTGGAGCCAGACTGAAACAGAATGAGTGACGCTTTGCACACACTGGGACAGAGAATGTCATCCTGCACCTCAAAGGACACCTTTTCATGAGGGCTGGAAGAAACAATGATTGGGACCACTGAGGTTCTTGCCCATCTCAGGCTGCATGCAGCTGGCAAATCTCTACATGACAGTTAGTCAGGGTTCTCTAGAGTAATATTCTGGAACCTGGGAGTATGCCGATTTACTTGCCAAATGGACTTTGAAAATTTGAAGATCAAGAGGATCCTGAGTTGGGTTTGTCTTGAATTATCCAAGTTTCTCCAGTGTAACTCAAGGACACTCATATGAGGGAGGTGAGTGGTCAGTGATGGTCAATTTACGGGGAGTAGAGTACAGGTAGCCTCTGGAAGCCGAAGCAGAATGCCTCAAGCCTCAGAAGGAACTTGACTTTGTTGCCGTGACCTGAATTGTGTCTTCTCCAAACTGGTTGAATTTCTAACTCCCCTGCCTCAGAATGAGACTTTGCTTCAGGCTTCCTTTGGAGGGAGGGTCTTTAAGGTTGAGGTGGAAGGCAAATACTTCAGAGAACAAAACAGGAACATGAACACCCATTCCTGATCCTGAGTATTTGTTTTCGTGGGTGGTTTGTTTGTTTGTTTGTTTGTTCCAGGCAGGGTTTCTCTGTGTAGCTTTGGAGTCTGTCCTGGAACTCACTCCTGGAGACCAGGTTGCCCTTGAACTCACAGAAATGTGCCTGTCTCTGCCTCCCTAGTGCTGGAATCTAAGGCATGCACCACCCCCGGCTGTCCAGAGTTTTTGAAACGATCTAGGATGTACCCACGTCTACTTCTCTAGGGGCTTTCTGTGGTCACTGGGGATGGGGGAAGAAGTACCGACCCGCGTGGAGTGACTCTGTCCAGAGCTGTACAAGCCAGTCATGACTGAGAACGGGGACCACTCAAGTGGCATCCGTGAGCAGTGGGAGGAGCCCCCGCTGGGAAAGTGCGTCAGCAGCAGGAGAGGTATAATCCCTTAGGAGGCTGCTACTCAGCTTCCTGAAGCTGCTACAAAAAGTCTGCCACAAAGAGAGGGAGGGGCCGGTAAGATGACTCAGGGGGGGTGAGCGAATGAGCGCTTGCCACCAAGCCTGGTGCCCAAATGGTGGAGGGAGAAAGAACTGACCCCTGAGAGCTGTCTTTTCACCTCTACACCCAAACCCTGACATGCACATGCACCTACACATAGAAACATTAAAATACAGATTTAAAGAGGAAGACTGAAATGACCCCACAGCTGAAGGTGCTTGCCACTGAGCATGACGCCCTGAATTTGATACCCAGGACCAACATGGTGGGTAGAGAGAACTGACTTCTGAAAGTCCTTCTCTCTGACTTCCACATACAAGCCATGTACACACACACACACACACATAGACATACACAACACACACACATACATACACATACACACATACACAACACATACACAGACATATACATATACATAGACACAAACACACACACACACACACACAGACCCTTTGAAATTTTGGCCCAGTGATTTCACTCTTATCCTGAGGAAATAATCAAGGACAGGGAAAACCATGGTGGGAAGATGCCCATTGTGTACTGTTGAAAACTTGGAACCTGCCTCATGGAGGACTGGGGATGGTTAACTAAGCTCCCGTGAGTATTCTTGTGGGACCGCTGAAGAGCCATGGGCCTCAATTATTATGTAGACTGTGTGGAGCCACGGAATTGCTTATTAAATTAAATAAAACCATTCAAATTTCATCCAATGACTACAACCTGAAGAGACAAATGCAAATGAGAGGCTAGAAGAAGAAAATGAACAGAAATGAATGTAGTTTTTGTGTAGGGTAGGAACATTTGGGGTGAATTTTCTCCTTTCGTTGAAAAAATTATTTTTATTATTTGTTGTATGTGTCTGTATATGGGTATGTTCACACAAATTCCGGTGCCCATACAGGCCAGAGGCATCCGATCTCCAATTTCCTGGAACTGGAGTTGTGACTTACCTGGGTTCTAGGAACCAAAGTTACATTCTTTGGAAGAAC